CATGTATATCATATACATGTAGTTTATGATTAATAATATTCATATACATATTCGTATATATCCACACATTATATTTAATTTGATTTTAATGTATATATTTTCCTACTTTTATTTACTTTAGTTTTAGCACCTGCCATCTATTTCTCACAATGACAAGGGTTGACTGGTAGAGAATGCCACTAGGTATTAAGTCAGCCCATTGTAGCATTTAGTCTAAGGTGTAACCATGAAGTATAAATAAAAAAATAAATAATGCACACGCTTTTAAAGAAGGCATTGATGGATTAACAATTTCCTTGACGCTCTTAACCGTTTTTGTCTGCCTCCATAAAACTATGAAAATTGCAATAAATATTTGTTCATATCAAATATTCTTTTCATTCATGCTTCCGATACAGTCAAGTTTTCACAACGTCTTATTTATTCTCGACGCCGTCGAAACTTTTGAGGTGTATTTTTTTTATTTGAATAATTTGCCCTTGTTGCATCGAAGTTTTATATACATAAATTTCATGAGGACAAACCCTAATCCGAAAAAAATATAATCGAACCCACAACTCTCGGCGCTGAAGCCAAATAACTTGGCAACTGCGCCACGGAGTCAATTACACCACATTTACGTAAATAAATTCCGATACAGTCAAGTATTGTGAATCTTATTTATTTATTTATTCTCGAGGCACATAAAATATGTACAGAGACGGACTTAATGCAATCAGTCGGTAAGATTAAGTCCGCCTCTGTAAATATTTTGCGTCATTAAATCAATCAATGTTTTCGTGGTCCAGAAAAGTTTTAGATTGTTGATTATAAAATTAAAAAATAGGAATAACTGAAAAATCTAATTAAGGAATAAAAAGCATGTAACGTTCAGTAAACCGTTTCCTCGTTTATCCCTTTCCTTAGTAAAAAAAATCTGTGATACCCTACCAAAATGTGTGTAGGAATCCGTGAAAACGATTCCTGTATATATGAGAGCCTATTATTTTAGTATATCAACCCAATACACCTTTATTTTACCGTTTAATAATAAAAGTATGGATAAATAATTCATAGAAGCTTTGAAAAGATTAAAAATATACACAATTTACCGATGGTTTCCGGCCAAGCCCTTGTTTTGTTCTGTTATCCCGCTAATTAACACAAATGGAGCGATGTTCCGCCATTTTTAAAAACAAAACAACGACTAGTGATGTGCAGGTCGGCGGATAAAAATATCTTCCTTTTTAACAATATTTTGTGATTATAATTTATGTATATATGATTTTAATGATAATATTCATTTACCTCCAGTGACAAGATTACTTTAAATATGACACAACAAAACTGACAACTGTAGAACAATTTTGTAATTAGAAACCCTTTGAATTAATTATTCTGTTTGATGTAATGTAACTATTAGTCTGGTGGTTATTAAGATTTATGTTTGTGTGGGTTATAAGATTAATATTCATTAGAATAGTCTTATAAAGAATACATATTTATTATACACGTATTTATTCTAATTTTTCCGCAATAAAATTTTTCTTAAACAACCTATTTTTAAAAGATGTACTTTATTTTTTGTAGCTTTGTATTTCTCTCATTATATTGGATGTTGCCTATAATTATATAAATGCACTAACAAACAATTGATTGATCATAAATAGTTCTGCCTTTAATAGTGTACATTCCGGTGGTAGGGCCACGCAGCAGCCTCGGCTGTTGCACGAATGGGCAGGCCCGTCTGGGTAAGTACCACGACCTGACAGAAGACCAGCGTAAAGTGGAAGTGTAACGAATACGTTCGCGTTTCGTCTGGTGAGTGAGGTAGCCGGAGCCCAATTTTCAAAAGGCTGTCAACAGATCTGTAACCCTCGGGTGTAGCAGATGTCCATGGGCGGTGAGGTGAACCGTCTGCTCGTTTGGCAAATTTTCACATAAAAAAAAACATAATCTTGCCCTTCATTAATATATAAAAAATAACAAAGGCCGTTGATTCCGGGACAATGGATCGTCTAGTTTTACGGCCAGTTGCCCGGGACGGTTATTACTTAGGGATCGAGTGTTTTTAAAGTTCAAAGCTGTAGAATATCTGGAAGCGGCAACAGATTGTAACTGTGCGCCATTTAGGAATTGATTGGCGTAGTAAGACTGTTTCTTATGCGATAGGATGTGGGTTCGTCGATGGTAAAGGAAAAATATTACGTGATTAACGTAGTCTCTTTATTATCTGGTTGTTTATATACCTGATATGTTTTGTTTACATAAGAAAAATATTTTAATGTGTCTAACGACTACCTAGTATCAATAGAACTTATTTAGGACTAGATAACGTTCTTGTTATCTTGAAATATTTATATTCATTCGCAAATCAATACATTTGAGACTTGCATATTTTTTTTAAATATGTTTGTGCACCATTTTTTAGTTTATGTTGGGGAAATACCTACGCATACTCGCCCTTGCGGGGGCAAGAGCGGGTTATTCCGGACTCGCAGCGACTAAAACCCCCACGATGTACCACCTAGGCCCATATCGGCAGGGCCAAGGGAGCGCTTTCGCACACTTCCGCGACCCTGCCAGCGCTGGCCACCTCAGAAGCCCCCGGCTGGGGAGCAACTCCCCTCACTTCCGGGTAACTGCTACAAGCGCGCTGGAATATTCAGCGCGCCTTACCTGGCCCACGAACTCCCCCGAGTTCGCTGATCAGAGGCCATGGGAGCCTGGAGAGCCAGTGCCAATAAGCAGCTAGGTTTCCAGCCCCCAGCGGCGGATATGGGCTGGCTTCGCCGCTCACCACGTTTCGGCCGCGGATGGTAGGGAGAACAGCGCACCGAAATACGGACACTACTCTCCCGCGACTCCTCCTCGGTGGCAGAAGACGGGGAGTGTGGCTTTTCCTCTACCACCTCCATGACCTGTCTCCTACGACAGGTCGAGGGACGACCCCCGGCGCTGAAGCTAATAACTTGACAACTGCACCACGGAGTCAATTACACCACATTTACATAAATAATTTGGATATTCGTTTACATATCTTCAATTATCTACTTCTTAAGTCAGTCAGTCATTTTTATTATAGAAGAATCACGCAGCAACTCCCACTGTTGCACAAATCCGGATTCCGCATAAGTACCGCGAACTTACAGGAAACTGACGTAAAGTAAAAGCGTTCATTACTTTAACATTTCATCTGGTGTTTGAGGTAACCGAGTCCCACTCACTTTAAAAGATTGTCAATGCTGCTACAACCTCACGGATGTTGTAAATGCTTATGGACGGCAAAATGGATGGGTGGTTACTTAAACAATTAACCTCCGCTGTTTCGTAGGGCTTGCCACGGAAGCTCAATATCCTCACAGATGCCTGGCGTAAATTGCATGTACTGCATATACTTCCGCGTTTCGGCTGGCGAGGTATCTGCAATCCATCGGTGCAGCAGATGTCTATGGTCAGGGATATCCCAACATATGGTGAACTACCTGTTCGCTTGCTAACTTATCACATAACATAATTGTCGCAATAGAAAATTCCCAAAGAATGACGTTTCTAGTAACGCGACGCTGCGTGTTCGATTATCGATATCGACTGCCGAAACGGACGGCGCAGCGCTAATCCCCCCCGCGCCCCCCGCGCCCCTCGACATGGCGGCCAGGTGCCAAACTATCGACTGGGGAGCACCGTTATCGACATCGCGCCCGCACTAAATTCTCCCGCGCAAATGAAATCGACTCTTTGAGCTCCGCGCGTTCGGAATTCGAAATCATTCGCACGTCTTCGTATTCGTCGGGAATACTCCGGTCTTATTCCTTCTAACAAGCCAGTATTAGCCTCTCTTGCATGATACTTTGCATGTATTGTGTACGTTATGATGTGTGATTATTTATATCATTTCGATACCGTATTAGCCACTTTCGAATCTCCGAATAATTTTACGCTAGCGTTATTATTTATTAGTTAGGTAGTTTTATGCAAATTTATAACCTTGTGGGTACTTAATAATTTCTTGTATTTACGCGATTACACATTATAAATGAAATTAATTTTACGGATTTATCGCGATAGGTCTTGAGGTGTTAGACCATGACCATGTTGACCATGAACGCTGTAAAGGGTTCGAAACGTCGGGAATTAAAATTAAAAATAAACTACTGGGTACTTCCTTACAATACTACCACCAACAACTGGTGACCCCAGTATATATCGATATGTGGTAAAGACAGCAGAGTTTATACTTCAAAGGCTGTGGTAGGACCACGCAACAGTGTTCGCTGTTGCAAGAATGGGCAGGTCCGTCCGGATTGGTAACACGACCTCATAGAAGACCGGTGTGAAGTTTGTTTGTTTTGTTTGTTTTTTTTTTTTAAACATTGCCCTCACTTTAGGATAACATTATCCTGTGTTGTAAGGACGTTTTACAAACATAAATCACACGAGGACAAACACCCAGATGCGAAACAACTATCTGTGGGTCGCACAAATAGTTGTCCCGTGTGGGAATCGAACCCACGACCCTCGACGCCGAAGCCAATAACTTGGCAACTGCGCCACGGAGTCATCATTAAGTAGAACACGTAGAAGTGTAGTGTAAAGTTAAGATTAACGAGTAGAAGTGTTACACTTCTGCGTTTCGTCTGGTGAGTCAGGTCTCTGGGGCCCACTTTATTAAAGGGTGTTGCAAATGTCTATGGGCGGCGGTCATCATTTAACATCAGGTGAACCGCCAGCTCGCTTGCCGCCTTCTCGCATTAAAAAACCGGGCGAAAGAGCGAGTCGAACTCGCGCACGTACCGTACCATTACCCATTAAAACGGCAACAATTTATATATCTGTTTTTAGTATTTGTTGTTACAGCGGCGACGGAAATACAGAATACATCTGTGAAAATTTCAATGGTTCATGAGATGCAGCCTGGTGACAGACGGACAAACGACAGACGGCGGAGTTTTAGTAATAGGGTTCACGCTTTGGGTTCGGAACCCTAAAAGGACAATACATGACATCACGACTTGTTCCAGGTCCCACAAGCTGAAGGCCTTCTGGTGCAGCATCTCCGACGAGCCGCTGCCCTCGCTGGACTTCCTGTCAGCGGCACTGCTCTCGGCCGAGTACGAGAGGGCCCTGGGACGAGCCCTGGCGATGCCCGAGTGCCGCCTGGTGCCTTTCTTCGGCGCCTTCCTGCGGGAGCTGAGGTGGGTGCTGAGCTGAATCAGCAGCCGGGCCTGGAGTAGCAATAACAGCGTTGACAGTGTTCGCTCGTTTTAAAAGTGAGCCCCGGTTACCACACTCACCAGCAATGTAGAAGTATAGCACTACTTCTTCACTTCTTATGTTGCGATGCCCTACCACAGTTATATAGAAGAAAAATAAGTGAATGAATGAATGAACGAATGGATGAGCTTAATCGAATTACAATTATATTTATTTACGTATATACATCTCTTGCAAATAGCTCATGTCTGGGAAGTGCATCTTTAAACAGCGAAAGATTTTTTTCAATCAGGGTTGAGAAGTTGTCTCAAATTCATGAATATAAAACACTCGTCTAGATTTTAGGTATTTTAGTCATAAATATCTAGAATCCAGAACGATTAAAACCCAGATTACTGACTAATTATCGTTAGTCACTGACTGGATCGTTAGTGAGTTTTATCTGTTTATAGTAATTAGATATTTTCATGTCAAGTCTATGGCCACGTTGGAACTGTCGATGTGTGCGTGTCTTTAATTCATTGTTGTTGCCAGTTTACTGAAATTAAATAAATAACCACAGACATCAAAGGCGACTTTACATATTCGTATGACACACCTATTTATCCTATATATATATATATATATATATATATATATATATATATATATATATATATATATATATATATATATATATATATATATATATATATATATAAATACTAGCTATGCCAGCTACAGTGTTCACATAAAGATCGCTCATATGTACAAGAGTTACCTTATTAAGAAAACGCCCGTTCATGTATAGATTACTCTCTTCAAAAGGACTCGCTAATACAAATAACAGTGTGGCTTTGTGGAGTTTAATTTGTGTTTGAATTGACGCATAAAAATCACTTGCTTGTGTTTTTTTATTCTGCAGATGCGCTTGGGTAGCTTAGTAGCTAAGTGGTCAACGTATGAACTTACTGAAATCTCGATATCTTTTTTAGGGTTCCGGACCCAAAGGGTAAAACGGCACCCTATTAATAAGACTCCATTGTATGTCTTTCCGTCTCTCACCGGGCAGTATCTCATGAACCGTGATACGTAGGCAGGATGATAAGTAACTAGCCATTGCTATTTAAAAAGTTAAAATAAAAAAAATATATGTGTCATTTTTAAATTCGTATCTCTGGCCACCTATGTTCTAAATTTGAATTAGGTGACGTGAAAATTTTATTGTTTTTTTGTCATTTGAAAATATATTTCGTCAACTATGTTCAAAATGGATAAAATTGAACAGAGAGCGGTGATAAAGTTTCTTCATATGAAGGGGATGAAGGCGAAAGATATCTATGACGAGTTAAAGAATGTTTTGGGTGAATGTGCTCTTTCTTATGCCACAGTAAAAAACTGGGTGGCTGAGTTTAAACGCGGTCGTACATGTGTCCAAGATGAAGCCCGCCCCGGACGTCCAAAAAGCGTTACGACTCCGGAAATGGTCGTGAAAGTACATGATATGGTTTTAGCAGATCGACGATTGAAGTTATCTGAAATAGCTGACACTACAGGTATCTCAAAAGAACGGGTACATCATATCCTAAGTGAGGAATTAAATATGAAAAAGTTATCGGCCCGTTGGGTGCCGCGATTGCTTACGCACGATCAAAAAAGGATTCGGGTGCAAAACTCAAAAGAATGTATGGACCGTTTTCAGAGTAATAAGGCCGATTTTTTACGTCGATTTGTAACAACAGATGAAACATGGGTTCATCATTACACGCCAGAATCAAAAATTCAATCAAAACAGTGGACTCAATCGGGATGCCCGGCTCCAAAAAAGCCATGGCTGTAAAGTCGGCTGGAAAAGTGATGGCTTCCGTCTTTTGGGATGCAGATGGGATTTTGATGATAGATTACCTTGCTAAAGGTCAAACAATTAATGGTGAATACTACGCTAATCTTCTTGATAAGCTTCATCAATGTACTCAGCAAAAACGACCAGGTTTGGTGAAAAAAAAAAATCATCTTCCACCAAGACAACGCTAGGGTTCACACATGTGTTAAAGCTATGGCAAAAATCAACGAATTGAAGTATGATTTGCTGCCTCACCCACCTTATTCACCTGATCTAGCGTCATCAGACTTCCACTTATTCCCTAAGCTCAAAACTTTTTTGGGCGGACAGAAATTTGCCACAAATGATGAGCCATAGCCGCCGTAGAGGAGTATTTTGCAGGCCTCGAAAGAAATCATTTTCTGGAAGGCATTACTGCTTTAGAACGAAGATGGAATAAGTGTGTAGCGGTTCACGTAGAGTATGTCGAAAAATAAAATTAATTTTATCACGGAAAGTTAAGTGTTTTCTTATTAGGCTAGTTACTTATCATCCCGCCCTCGTAGTTAGACAGTTAATATTTTCACAGATGATGTATTTCTGCTGCAGCTATCAACAAAAAACAGAATAAAAAATATTTAAGTGGGGCTCTCATACAACATACATGATTTTTTTGCCGTTTTTATATATAGTACGGAACCCTTCTTGCGCGACTCGGACTTGCATTTGTACGTCTGGGAACGAATTTTGCAACAGGTTTCTCTACAAATTTTAAGATCACTTTATACTAGGTCCTGACATCATACCTTTAGAAAGTAGAATTTGGATAACATTGGTAGAGCATTAGTCCGCTTTGTGGTAAAACACTGCTACTTTTTTTAAAGCGCGCCAAACTTATAGCGCGAACGAAGCTACGGTTCCACGAGAATGTCGACCAATCACAGATGTGATCGTCCGAGTGTCAACCAATCAGAGCTCAATTACAATAACACTAAATGTAAAAAAAAATATACAGATAAAAGTAACATAAAGAGGATTAAAAAATAATACAGATTAAAAATAATATATGAAAGAAATAAAGTAATAAAAGTATGCGTGTACTTATGTACGCATGTTTACAAGTTATACTTCTATAACGTTACAAAAGAAAAATAAAAACCAACATTATATAACTGTGCTAGTATAGTACTCACTCATGTTTGTGAAAAAGACATTAAATGCAATTGATAACGGTTTAATTAGATAACTTGGAATCATGGGTAAAAGTTAAAAAGTTGCCAAAGCTATCGGTTGCCATGGTAGGTACATGGTACTACTGTCAAGTTGGTCGCCTAGCAACCAAATTCACACAGGAGGTTCAAACTCGGCAGTATAATCGTTTATTGAAATAAAAACAAACTTTTTTTTTCAAAAAACTGCCATTCTATTCCCTAAAAAACAGAACTTGTTTACAATGCGGAAGTCATTTATAAATGCGTCGTATACTTTTGAAACGAACTTGTGTGCGTGTTAGTTGTGAATGATCGCGCGTAAAATAAATAAGTTGGCCATAAATCACGCACTTTTTGAGATAAGTCTAAATGAATGTAATTAATTAATTACCAGTGATTTTAAATATTTATCATTTTTTATATAAAATTTTTTATTTATATCTAGAATTTAATAAAAAAAATGGATACATTTAGAAAAGCCTCCCTGTATAAGACTAACGCCCTGTTTCTGAAACACCGATCATCGAAGAAGATAACTAATCAGCTGTCAAATGGCTTTTCAAATGTCATTTGAGTTGCCAAAAGGATAGTTAAACACTTTGAATTAATCATTCACAGTACGCAGGTCTTCTTAATGTGATCATTAAGAAGACCTGCGTACTCAGACGCCCTCGAAGTTTAGCTAACAAAGGACGTGGCATAAAAAAAATAATGCATGTTTCACCTCTATGCGAAATCGAGAAAGTATTATAAATTATTTGCGTTGGCATCACAACGAACGCCAGGCGATGCCAGTTAGATATAATAATTAAAGGAATAATTAAAATCTCATAAATTGTCTACTGCAATAAACAATGGAAGTGTTTCTGCGTGTGTAACATATAGGCTTATGCACCGGCGAGCGGGAGAGATGAAATTCAATGATCATTCAGCCGCTGGCCGGTATTCGTTCGTTTAATTAAAGCGGTATTGTGTAGCTATTCGAGCCGCTTCGACCTTTTTTTTTATTTTGATTAACCGACAATGGCCAGCTGCGTACCCTTTGAAGGATTTTTATCGCAAACCGGCCAGCGCTAGGCCAATATTCCGTCCGGCGAATGATGCAACGGAAAAAGGTTACTCTTTATAAAATTGTAACTTTTTTTTTTTTAAAGTACGTGTATACTTATGTCGGCACGGTAAGACGTTCTACTTCTTTAGTGCAACAAAAGAAAAATAACTGAGCCCCTTTGCCAGTAACTGTTTGTGAAAAAGATATCAAGTGCAATTGTGCCAACGGATGTCGTGGGACACCAGGTAGGAACGAAGTTCCTTCGGCTAATGTAGAATCGACACAAATTGCAAAAAAAATCGTGCTCAATTTTATGTAGGTTTTCTTGATTTTTCTCTTTAATTTTGCTGATTAGTTTTTATTTAAGTACAAGAAAGTATTTAGGAAATTCAGTATTTTAGGAAATAATAAATTACTTAGAATAAAAAAACATCGTAATTCAAATTATCAACTAAAATAACAAAATTATACACTACTCGCTGTCGCGCCTGCGCAAGTCTCATTTAACGGTTTTATTCCACGCACTTTTTTCCACGGATTTTTTCTTACGGTTTTACTATCACATTTTTTTCAGTTCGGTCGCGCAGCAAAATCCCTATCCCCTCCAAGCCTGCCGTAAGGAACTTGGTTCCAAAAAAACTTGGAATTCTAAGTAAATAACAAAAAGTTGTTATTAGCTGTTGCCGTGTTAATAACGTGAAGTTGGTCACTTTGCAGCCAAATTAATCATGTCTCTTTTTGGCTATTGCTGTGCGCGCGCATCGTGAAAATTTTACACATACTTATATTTTTTTCCTAGCGCGCCAAAAGAAGTACAACTTCAAAAATAATTTGTAGTAACGCTTTCAACGCTAAAGTGTATTCGAAAAGTTACGTCCACTTTACGTATTATTTCTGCAGTACAGAATCGGAGGCGAGTGTTTTAGCAAATTAATTAACCCCGCCGCTAGCACGTAACGCAGCGATGCGGCGGGGACTTCGGCACGTGTTATTTTTTAATCTGCTACGTTGGATGGCCGAGCGCGGCGTGCGGTCCTATATTACAAAGTACTCTGTGGTGCGGTCTTTGCCTTTTTTTCATCGTCGCAATATACGCGCGCACCGAGCGAATGCTGCCCACTAATAAATGTCGCTCGTTGCAACTGAACGAAAAAAATGAAACGTTGGCCGAAAATTATATTGTATATTTATGACACACGAGGAGCTAAGTAATTACCTTTACCGCCATTAAATTTGTCTATTTAGCATTACCCACTCCCAGACATAACATGGTGACATTTAACTTTTATTTTTTATAAAATTGCTGTTTATTATAGCAGCTAGAGGTTTTCACGTACGTTAGATATTTAAAAAAACGGGTGTAAAAAACAAACAGAGATACTTTTCAAAGGACTTTACTTTTATAGTACTGTTCTCTGCACTTAAGATGAAATTTTAAAATTTTTATAAAACTGACAAAAAGTTTTTCGCCGCTATGGAAATCAAACCTGCACATTCCGAAATCGCCTAGACGCTTAAGTGTCTGCTATAAGTATCCAAATCACGAAAAGTTTCCCGTTTTAAAATGTAATGAAAACAAAGTAGATAAATAACTCATCATTCAGTAATTATGAAGAATTTAGCCACGTTGATAAACTTTTTATTACATATCAAACCATCCTCGTCCTCGTCAAGGTGCAAATTCAGCTTGACAGGCGATTTAGTGGTAGGTGGGAACAATATCACACAAGTAAAAACGCTTCGTAAACTACATTAAGTACGCTATATTACGGAAATAAAATTACGAATATAGAAAGTACATTATGAAAATTCGAAAGACAAAAACGATCCCCATGCTATCTTTCCAAGAAAGACGATATCGCTCTATTTCGAACTTTTCACGGGGAAAAATTCAGAAACACATTATTTTCCTGCAACTTTAACAACTGGCGCGCGCTGTGAAGTTCTCAATGGCACGACTTTTCGAACAACATATAGTCTGTATCCATCTGAAATAATGTTCCTTAAAACTGGTGAGAGAATCTTTCAAAAACATCTTTTTTTTTGTAACAAGTTTGCAATCGAGCTGACGGTTCACCTGATGTTAAGTGATAACCACCACCTGCTGACTATTACAACACCCGTAGGCTTACAAATGTGTTGACACCTTTCAAATAAGTGGGCCCCCGCTACCTCACTCATCAGACGAAACGCTGGAGCTGTAACACATCCAGTTCACGGCGGTCTTCTGTAAGATCGTGGTATTTGCTTTTCCCATAAAAAAAAAAGAAAAAGAGATGGACTTTCTAACATATCACTGTGACTTTACTATGGTAGGGCCTCGCAGTAATCTCCGTGAGGTAACCGGTGCACATTTTATCAAAAGGTGGCAACTCATCTGCAACCTACGGGTGTTGATATTCCATGGGCTATTACTTAACATCAGGTGAGGTAGCTCGCTTGTCACCTTCCTACGTAAATAATCGCTTGGGTCCACTGCGAAAGCATTTATCATCTCTTTACTTCTTCTTCCATAGGGAGATCCTGGCGGCCACGCCATCGCTGACCAGCTGCCACTCGACCACCTCCACCCCCACGCCGACCCACAGGAGGGAGCACAAACGCGACTCCTTTAAAGAGGAAAGGTGAGTAATGAATAAACTGGACCAGAAAGCTGAAATTAAACAATAGATGCGTTTCGACGACCCAGGTGGCGTAGTTGGTAGTGACCCTGTCTCTTGCCCCAGTGTGTGTGGGTTCGATTCCCGCTACTGGAATAATATTGTGCGATGAACAGTGTTGGGTTTTTATGTATGTATAATATGTATTTATTTATAATAGTAAAGTAGGTTTAAGTGTGTTCATAAGTTACCTAGTAAAAGCTTTGCTTAGTTTGGGACTAGATAACGTGTACAAATTATTCACGGATTATTTATTTATTTATGTATTTATTATATTTATATATCGTCCGGGCGCTCGCCTTTAATTCAATATACTCGAGCAACCTGAATTCGATCCCCGGTGCCGGCACCAATGAAGTTTTTAACTTTAAGTGCTGACTTATCACGTGCTCCGCGGTGAAGGAAAACATCGTGAGGAAACCTGCATATTTTCGAAATAATAACAAAAAAAAAATATATTTCGGTGATATGTGAAGTCCGCCAAGCCGCAGTGGGGCCGCGTGGTGGACTATGCCCTGATACCCTCTGTATAGAGGAGGCCTTTGCCCAGCAGTGGGACATGTATAGGCTGTTACTTTACGTTTTGCTTTTTTTTTTATGGTCATGTTTTCTTCACTAGCTACATTTTGCTAAGCGGCAATATTTTGTGATCCGAATCGAAGAGAATAACTGCTGGACAAGTAAGTCAAATAGGTGATGGTAAAATAGATGATGGAGCATCTGCTCTATTGATTGGCTCAGACCGTTGATGCCCTGACCAGGATCGGTGATTTTTTTTCTAAATCAATTTTGGCAGAGAACAACAAACTAATTCAAAAGTGTATGATATCTTAAATAATATATCACACCACCATCATTATGATACAGTGGTTTTTAAAAAGTTTCTTTTTCTTAATTAACGTCCTTAGTAAATTATTAAGAACAATTGAAAAATAAATATCAAGTATACAGTTCTTACGTACGTACATAAGTAAACACATACTTTTTTTGTCTGAGAAGTTGTCAAACAGGCTTAATATCTGATGTTAAGTCATAACCGCTGCCCATGGCTATTTGCAACGCCGGTAGGGTTGCCATCTGCCAGAAGTGTGACATTTCCAGTTCACGGTGGTTTTCTGTGAGTGCGCGGTACTACCCGAACGGACCTGCCCATTCGTGCATCAGTGAAGACTTACACGGCCCTACAAAATACTGTTTGGAGTATACGGTTTTTCGAATGTCAATTGCATTTCCAGTAGCAGAAGTTCCTTAAAGAGAGACGGCGGAAGAAGAGATAGTGGCAAGAGAGTGGACCAGAGCACCACGACCAGCCCGCTGAGGGACAGCTGCAACAAAGACCCGAGATTAAACGAAACCAATAGACAAGTGGTGAGTTTTTAAAGAGTTTTTGAAAAGTTATCAAGCCAATAAGTGTAAGTATGCTAAGTGATAATAATTTAGTGTAAGTATGCTAAGTGATAATAATTTAGTGTAAGTATGCTAAGTGATAACGGCCGCCATGAACATTTGCAACGCCCGTGGGGTTAGATACATTTACACCTTTCAATAAAGTGGGCCACGTCTACCTCACTCACCAGACGAAACGCGAAACTATAACACTTCCACTTAACGCCGGTCTTCTGTGAGGTCGTGGTACAAAACAGCAGTAACTATTGCGTGCCCTACACCTACACCTACCCCAGTTAATATTTAATTAGTTCACCAAAATCAACGATACCGAAGATGATGAAAGTAGATTAATATTTACCGCCTATTTTAAAATAAAATTTGATTTCGACTTTTTCCAACACAACGAAGGTTGTGTTTTGGTGTTACAATAACACTGGGCAATAAAATATGAAGTTCATCGTGCCAAACAGAGTTTACTAAAATTTTTTTAATTTGTTGAGTGACTCTTAGTAAAAGAAATCTATTGCCCAATAATTTTCAATGATGTAGTTTAAATACTTAAAACGGTTTTTTAACAAAAAAAAAGAACAGACTTCAAAAAAACTCTATTAACACTTAAAACTCTTAAATAATATAATATCTAATATAGTTAAAAAAAAAAATCTATCCAATTTAACCTAACATACCTAACATCTAACAAAATTCAATTTTTGGAGTCGGGGCCTTTGTTCATCACGGGTAATGGTTGTACACCATATCACCACATCACCTAAAAAAATAGAAAAAAGCCATGTCTAATAGGTTCCTTTAAACGAGCAATTCTTGTATATATATATTACACACTTATTTTTTTACTTTTTTTTCTATACCAGATCATTGCTTTCTTTATTTTTTATTTATTTATTTCCAAAATACACGATTTACCAAAAAAAAGCGAGCAATGCTCGCTCCTCCAGGTACTGTTGAATTAAATCACCCGATTTACCGACCTGGACACTGAGCTATCATATCCCAAAAGATCCGTGAGATGACAATTTGCATTTTCAACTTTAGTACATAGCGTCTTTCGAGGAAGAGGGTGAGCAAGGGCCGGCGTGGAGGCGAGTGGGCCCCGAGGGCCTGGTCAACCTGGAGAAGGTGTACAGGACCCAGGCGGTGATGGACCACATAGCGAGCTTCCACCAGCACCGGTACACGCTGTCAAGGACCACGCAGCCGATCTTCGGCGAATACTTGAGGTGACCTACCGTTCGATTTTGGTTTGAATCTGAAAATGGTAAACGGCCCAACCGATAGTAATTCATCATCGACACTCATGTTTTTTCTATGTAAGAAGGTAATAGAGCTGGTGGTTATCCTGATGTTAAGTGTTAACCACTACCCATGGACATTTGCAACACCCTTTCCGTTGCAGATGCGCTGCAACCTTTTAATAAAGTGGAAGTAAAAATACCTCAGTCACCAGATGAAACCCAGAAACATAACTCTTCCACTTCACGTTCTGTCTACCTGGACGGGGCTGCCCATCCCGCTCCAGCAAAGACTGCTGTGGGGCCCTACCACAGCCAGAGTTGTCCTCACTCCTACTTCCTTAAGCCCGTCTTCCGCGGTCAATGTGGACTGGGCGGCTAATGCCACTCTAGTTCCTGGATGGTTCCATGCTCCGTAATGGCAACCTTTATACACTAATGAGCAAGCCATTTGCTATAACATAACAGTTATATCGAAGTACCAGTCACAGAGGACGGACGTGAAGGGAATTGAACTTTTGCAGTTCGTCGGAGTAGTGAGGTAAATGGAATCAACTTTTTTAAAGTTTGCCTACTCATCCGCAACCCCATAGGTGTTGTTTACGCCCCGAAGATGGACAGGCTATTCCTTGCAAAACTCTTGCTCCTAAGAAATCCTCTTGGGTAAAGTAAATTTTACTAATTTGTCAGCTAATGTGTTGAATTTTAATCTTCACGACGAGAGCTCTGAGTCATCTACTTGTTCGGGAAAAATCTGAGTCAGTATTCACAACCGAGGCCCCACAATAAGTGTCGAAGTGATAAAGTCGGTCAAACATTGGCCGGTTTGGCCCCCGTTATTTGGATTCAAACTATACTCATACCATTGCGGAATATCATTAACTGTTGATACACACGTTGGCTATAATAAGAATTTTATACCTATTTTATATTATAAAGTGACCTTTTAAAAAAGAGCAACTGTTGAGTTTCTTGCCGGTCTCTTCTCAACAGAAACTGCTTTCCGAACCGGTGGTACCTTACGAACTCGTGTATCAATTTTTATGTGAAATTCCACATTTCGTAAGAACGTCTATTTGAATAAAGATATTTTGAAATTCGAAGACGATCAAACTTTGAGGAAAGATAGGTATTTGGATTTTTGAATGAAGATATTTTGAATTTCGAAGACCAACAAACTTTGAGGGAAGATATTTTGAATTTTTGAATTTCGAACACCGTCAAACCTACCCCCTACCCGCGTGCCGTCTACCTCCAGAACAGCAATCGCCTCGTGCGAGGACCCCGTGTTCGCGCAGCCCCCGCAGAGGGCGCCCGGGGGCGACTTCGAAAATGAGGCTCTGTACGAGCTCGAGGGCGGTGGCTACTGCCCCGTGCAACCGCTGCCACACGACCACGGCGTCACCATGTTCCCCCTGGCGCCGCAGAGCGGGGAGAGGATGGACAGGCACGTGTTGCAGGTGGGTGGCATTGGCACGTATTGCAGGTGGGTGGCAGTGGGGAGTTAAACAACAAAACCCAAGAAAAAAATCAGTTGCTGAATCCCAAAACAACCGTAAAGGACCGTTTGTGTGTCAGAGGCTGTTATAATATTAGTGATTATTTTAATAACACTCTCTAGAAACGAATTGATCGCTCTGGGTTTTTCAAGTAAACTTTAATGTTAACATGTTTTCACTGTTAAATAATTGTAAAAAAATCCTGCTGAGTTTCTTTCATCTGTCCTTCTCAAGTTTGTGGATTTTCTTTTTCGAACCGGTTGTTGTATTTTGACAGTCAATAATTAAGTGTAATAAAAAAGTTAAAAATAGACAAATGACCCTTTTAGAAACACTGTGGTTCACGCAACAGTTTTCGCTGTTGCACGAATAGGCAAATCCGTCCGTATAACCAGGACCTCACAGAAGACCGGCGTGAAGTGGAAGTGTTGTACTTCTGCGTTGGGTCTGGTGAGTGAGGTAGCCGGTTTATTAAAAGGCGGCACACGCATCTGTGATCCCACGGGTGTTGCAAACGTCCGTGGGCGGCGGTTATCACTTAACATCAGATGAACCGCCAGCTCACTTGCCACCTCACTTAAAACACCGGACCCTGTTGCAGATCATGCACCACGGCACCGCGTGCGTGGTGGGCGAGGCGGAGTGGGGCGGCACCTTCGCCCAGCTGAGGCTGGAGAGGGCCTGCGCACTCCTGGCCTGGTGTAGAACAGTTCACCGGCCGCAATCACAGCACGGTAGCTAGGATAGATTAGAGCTCCGTAGAAAAAGTAAAGTAACAGCCTATACATGTCCCACTGCTGGGCAAAGGCCTCCTCTATACAGAGGGTATCAGGGCATAGTCCACCACGCGGCCCCACTGCGGATTGGCGGACTTCACATATCTTCGAAATATTTTTTGTTATTATTTCGAAAATATGCAGGTTTCCTCACGATGTTTTCCTTCACCGCGGAGCACGTGATAAGTCAGCACTTAAAGTTAAAAACTTCATTGGTGCCGGCACCGGGGATCGAACTCAGGTTGCTCGAGTATATTGAATTAAAGGCGAGCGCCCGGACACTGAGCTATCACGGCTCGCTCCGTAGAAAATAGAAAAATAATACTTTTATCACTAAGACCAACTTTTTTTACCCCTGGGGATGAAGAATAAATGCTTAGATCTTAAAACAAGAAACTTTTTCTTTTTCTTTTTATTTACAGTGCCTTACTAACAGTGCCCACAGATTATGTGTTGGCAGTGTTAATAAAAATAAAAGCTGAAAAAATATACACTATGCTGAATTCCATTTTAACCCACAAGCCAAAGGATCAGCGACAATCCCCTGCGCTTTCTAGGGGAAACCCCGTCGGAGAGCGTGCAGCAGCCCGAAATCAACCTGTCCTACAATCCTGAAGAAGTGATACCGATCAAGTACACAGCGAGCCTGGCGCACGAGAACGAGGCGGGCGTGGTAGGAGACGAGGGGTAAATTGGAACTTACCTTCACTAGTGATTTCTGCCCTTAATAACTTTTTTTATAGATTACTAGCGCTAGGCTTCGCACGGCTGCAATGTATTATACATTTAAAGCTTCCTCTTGAAACACTCTATCTAGTAAAAAAAACCGCATCAAGATCTGTTGCGTAGTTTTAAAGATGTAAGCAAACATAGGGGGCAGACTGACAGCGGGATGACTTTCTTTAATACTATGTACTGATGATCATCTACTGTGGCAGGGCCACGTTCTGTTTCTGTTGCACGAACGGGCAGGCTCGTCCGGGAAAGTCATGATCTGACGACCAGCGTGAAGTGGAAGTACACTTGCGTATCGTCTGGTGACTCAGGTCAGCTGGGCCCACTAATTGTGTGGCAACGCATCAGTCAGATGTCCATAGGCGGCGGTCATCACTTGACATCAAGTGAACCTCCTACTCACGTAACAACTATTCACATAAAAAGAAGAATGTTCTAGAAAGTAAAATCATCTTCCCCTGATTCCAAAACGAAGCTGCACAGTTGAAATGATTGTATGTCTGGACGCGCCGACCCGGAAATCGCTAGCCCGCTTTTAAATGTGGCATCACATTAGAGATCTCACAGGGTTTTTCATACGAGCAACTGCCGGACGTCAACCCTTGCATGCAGCACCCAGATCCAGAACAGTAATTGGCTTACTGTGGTAGGGCCACGCAGCAGCCTCGGCTGTTGCCCGAATGGGCAGGCCCGTCCGGGTAAGTACCACGGCCTACAGAAGACCGGAGTAAAGTGGAAGTATAACAAATACTTTCGCGTTTCGTCTGGTGGGTGAGGTAGCCGGAGCCCAATTTTCAAAAAGTCATCAACGAATCTGTAAGTCTCGGGTGTAGCAGATGTCCATGGGCGGGGGTATTCACTTAACATCAGGTGAACCGACTGCTCGCTTGTCAACTTTTCGCCTAAAAAAAATAATATTCCACAAATACTTGCCCCCGTGGATTAAGATGAACAGAAGGATGATTGAAACCGCGTGACGCAACTTATTAACCGAGAATACACCTTTTTCCTTCGAAATCACACTACGATCATCACTACACGATCCATACCCTAAGGGAAGTTCTGTCTACCGAGTCTGTTACGCCAAAAGATTGGCAAAAGCCGTGTCGAAGAACATAAACGACTGTATATCGTTGGTTCTCCACCGCGTTTCAGATTCATCGACCTCCAGTGTGTCAAAGATCTGCGTCTGGGCGGGAAGCTCCTAGACCAGAGGGATCTCGCGGAGCTGGTCGCCTGCGCCAAGCGCCACGGGCTGGAGACATGTGTCCACGGGGGCTCCCACGTCATATCCCTGGTCTACGGGAGGACCCTGAGCGACAACAGGACAGTGCATTTCCTGCTGCCTCCGTACTCTTACAGGTGAGCACAGTTAATACTTATACAGCGTGTCGTTACAACCGCGACATTGAATTAACACACTTCTAACGCTACTCGCCAATAATCATAAAAAGTACAAACTTAAAAAAAAACATAATTAAAAAAATAATAATTTTCAAACAAATTAATTAAACAAAAAAGAAACAAAATTTGTAACTTCCTATACAGCTACAACTGACTGATTCATACATTCAGAGACTTTTTCATTCGTTGCCACAGCGTCGCTTTACAAGTCTCTCCTTCTAACAGTATGCTTTATCTCTTTTAAATTCATTCAACCCATTCATATGCTTTGTGACCTTTACAAATGAACTTTACGTTACATTTTTATACGTAAGGGTGTTCTAAAATTTTTTGTTTTGGAAAATTTAATAACTCGGCAAATATTGATGTTTAAAGAATGTAAATGTTTAATGCAATTTTAAAAAGTTATCCTCTATATGTGTTCATATTGTCGCGGTTGTAACGACACGTTTTATACTAGTGGGTATTGGGTTACAGAGGGTATTAGGTCCCACTGCGTATTGGGAGACTTTACGTGTCTTCGAAATATACATATTATTTGTTATTATTTCGAAGAAATGCAGGTTTCCTCACGATGTTTCCCTTCACCGCCGAGCACGTGATGAGTCACTCAACATTGTAATTTAACATTTCATCGGTGCCGGCACTGGAAATTGAACTCAGGTTGCTCGAGTATATTGAATTAACAGCGAGCGCCAGTACACTGTACTATCACGGCTAGAATGAGCCGTGATAGTACCAGATAGTTATGAAATTTAAAACCGAGCGAAGAAATTCCATTTTCTCTTTATTGTTAACGAATCGAAGCATCAATATCGTCAGCTGTTAAATTATCAACCATCAGCAGCCACTCTTTTAATTACGACGTCAATTGGCTTCAGTTGACAGTCTTAATAAGTGTTTTCGATTTAACTTTGCAAATTATATTTTACTACTAGTCGAGTTCTAAATAAACGTGACAAGTACGAGTCGGACTCGCGCACTACGGGTTCAGTACCATTATCTATAAAATCAGTGAAATAATCATGTCTGTTTTATGGAAGCACCTCTTAAATATTTCTTGTTCTGTTTTTTAGTATTTGTTGTTATAGCGGCAACAGAAATATATTACATCATATGTGAAAATTTCAACAATCTAACTATAACGGTTCATGAGATACAGCCTGGTGATAGGCAGACAGACAGACAGCAGAGTAATAGGGTCCAGTTTTACCTGTTATATTTATTTTTACATTTTGGGGTACGGAACCTGAAAATTGAACACTTAAAATATGTTCAACAGCTTTAGTCTGGAACTCAATAAAGCATGACCTTGCGTCGATCTGCCCGATATCGCTTCAGACCCTGTAGATGGCTTTTCTAAGTGTATCCATTTTTTATTTAATTCTAGACATAAATAATGTTATATAAAAAATGATAAATATTTAAAATCACTCGTAAGTAATTGATTACATTCATTTGAACTTATCTCAAAAAGTGCGTGATTTATGCACAACTCATTTATTTTACGCGCGATCATTCATAACTAACGCGCACACAAGTTCGTGCACAGTAAAATTTAGGTATTTATGAATGACTACCGCACTGTCAACACGTTGTCTGTTTTTAGGGAATAGAACGGAATTTTTTTTTTGAAAAAAACTTTTGTTTTTATTTCAATAAGCGATTATACTACCGAGTCTAAACCTCCCGTGTAAATTTGGGCATTTCTCAAAACATCTCCCTGTATAAGGAATCATCAGGTGGTGTCTGCTTCAGGGTTTGGGCCGTTGGCCTCCACGCTGTCATCAGGGCGCTGATGACACAGACCAGGCTGGCTGACAGGAGCTTGGCCTGGCTGAAGAACAAGTATACCGCGCTCTACTACGAGGACGGCTGCTGCTGCGAGCCGGTGGTCTCCGACGCGATACGGGTGAGGCCTCGGCTACTAGGAGAGAATTGAATGCTATGGAAAGCGGTCCTCATAGCCTGGAGCACAAGGAGATAGGAAAGAATTGAATAAGAAAAGAGCTGGTGGTTCATCTGATCTTAAGTGATAACCGCCGCCCTTGGACATTCGCAACGCCCGTATCAGATGCGTCGCCTACTTTTTAATTAAGCGGGCTAAAGCAAAATAATTATACAATGTTATCTTACTAATATTATAAACGCGAAAGTGTTAATGTGTGGATGGATGTTTGTTACTCTTTCACCCAAAAACTACTGAATAGATTTTAATGAAACTTTACAATAATATATCCTATACTTACACCAGAATAACACATAGGCTATAATTTATAAAGATATTGTGTCAATTTTCCAAAATGTAGGTAATAATAAGTGTCAACTAAGTAAGAAAAAAAGCAGCCATCTGCGATGTATTCTGGTGTATAATAAAAAACTCAACGCTATTTCCTTAGCCGCGCGGGCGAAGCCGCGGCTAACAGCTAGCTACAAAATAAAAATATCCACTGTCTTTTGCATATTTTTATTGAGAAAAACAAAATATTATCACTGCACATTGACGTTTTTAAAATCACACTTCACACTGCCAAGTTCAGCACGAGGCTTTTAGTGTCCCTTTCTAAAAGGGCTCATCCAGGTAAGTACCAAGACCTCACAGAAGACCGGTATGAAGTGGAAGTGTAATAAATACTTTCGCGTTTCGTCTGGTGAGCGAGGTGGCCGGAGCCCAATTTTCAAAAGGTTGTCAACGTATCTGCAACCCTCGGGAGTAGCAGATGTCCATGGGCGGCGGTATTCACTTACCATCAGGTGAATCGCCTGCTCGTTTGGCAAATTTTCACATAAAAAGGCTGCCACACGAACTATTGCCGAAAAATTTATTAATATTTACTTATTTGAAACAGGTTTTTGGTGGGAGGGAGTCGGCTGTAGGCGCTTCGTCCCACTCCACCCCTGTGCGTGGCGCCTACACGGAGCCCCATTCGGACTCCCTGCGAAGCTCCGGGATCAAGTTCAAGGTCAGTTCTGGTCTGCTGCTCTTGCCCCATGATGATGAGCTTTGAGTGTTGAAGTCAAATAAAAAATAAACTTAAAACAAATAACACTAGGCAGCGATGTGAAGGTCTAGTAAGGTATGATTGAGACGATGACAGATTTAGATGGATTCATTGCGAGAATTCTTGGGTTATAGATGGAACAAATAAAGGCAAGATGTACAGAAGAACTAATAAAACTAGGCAGCGACATTTATTAGATAATATGATGTTTTTAGATAGATTTAATCTTGTAAATATTAGATCCATAAACTCTATGATATTCACATGAAGGTAAAGTAGTATATCGTTGAGACGATTTCGGATTGAGATGGGTTCATGGCGAGAATTCTAGGGATATGAGTAGAACAAATCAATAAATGACTTACTGTAAATTCATTTATTTGTGCTTTACTACAAATACCTTAACGCCCGGTTTCTGAAACACTGATCAACGTAGATGTCAACTAATCAGCTGTCAAATGAATTTCAAATGTCATTTGAGTTGCCAAAATGATGTTTAAACTCTTTGAATTGATCATTCTAATCATAAAGAACATCATTCTGGTCAATTCAGAGAGTTTAACCATCCTTTTGGTACCTAAATTGTAATTTGAAATCCATTTGACAGCTGATTAGTTGACATCTACGATGATCAGTGTTTCAGAAACCGGGCGTAAGTATTGATAATAAATTGAGGAATTTAATGCCAAATGTCATTCTTTACGAGTTCATTAAGTTTCCTTGTTTACTAAAATACCAATGCCTGCAAAACTATTCAAAGAAAAGCGCGTTGCTCGTACTAATATAAAAGTCTTTACCACATACTTACGCCCGGTTTCCGAAACACTAATCGTAGAAGTTAACTAATCAGCTGTCAAATGGCTTTTCGAATGTCATTTAAATTACCAAAAGCATGGTTAAACTCTCTGAATTGATCAGAATGATCTACTTAATGATCAGAATCTACGATAATCAGATTCGGAAACCGGGATTTAGTAGTCTTTGTTTTACTTGATTAATATAATTTTATTTTTTAGCTAAATAAAAGCCTTGATAAGTAAGGTGAAACGACTATATATATATATATAAAAAGACGACATGTTGGCTTCAATTAAAACCGCTATATCTTCGACAGAAAAACAAATCCACGTCGGAGCTGAAGAGCTCGCCGAAGAACTACGGCTCTGGATACGGCACTTTCAGAGGAGAAGATGACGCCAATCAAGGATCGCCAAGGCACAGGTATAAACATCATCCAACTTCGGGAACACAAGAAATGATTTCGAATTGGTAATAACTATGATCAAATACAAGCTTATAATCGATAAAGTGGAAAATTCTGGACAAAATATATGAAAGAAAGGAAATCTGGAACTCTTTTGCTACTGGATCTGTCCATTCCATCTGAATTATTAGATCTATACATCTAGTATACGTTTCCTTTACGCCATTGATTGCCTGGACGAGATCGCTATGAACAATTAAGGCTGCCAAATTGTACATTGCATAAATCTGATGATCTATTTTCACTTTTATGTATAATTACATTTGTGGTGGACAATAAATGTGTATTCAGTCATTCATTCTATCTTAATCAAACAAATCGAATCAGAAAGTAATTTGTGATGCGAGAAAGATCTTGACTCTTGCTTCTCCGTACATACTTGAAAATTTTTCTATGTCAGTAATGTTCAGCAAATTTGTTTATGTTACCATTATGCATGATATAAATACCAAGAACAAACATAAACTAATTCGACGGGCAAGTACACTGCGTAGAATAAGTAATTGTTTTATGGGGCAATGTGTACGTTTTTACAACAAAATCCCAGAAAACGTAAAATGTATCAATTGATATTATGATGATGATTAATGATTGATTGATTTTAATAAAAAATAAAAAAAAATAAAAAAATTGAGTCAAAAAAATTGTAAAGAAATATTTGTGTTAAAGTTTATTATAATATTACTGAATATTTAAATGATACCACACTATGAAATGAATTGATCGCTCCAGGCTCCTTCAAGTGGACTTTAATATATTGTAGACACGTTTTCACTGTCAAAAAATGTTAAAAAAGAAACTGTCCCGCTGAGTTTCTTTCGCCGGTTCTTCTCAGGTGTTTTAAGTGTTCCGAACCGGTTGTAGTAGAATTTTGCCAATCAATAAGTGAGTGTAATGCAATAAATAAATAAATATATCCGGGCTAAATATAATACATTACAACAATGTCTACATCCAACTGGATCTATCACATCCTTTTTATTTAATTGTATCATATACCAGACCAATAACAACTTGATCAAGAATTACATTTATTAGTCAACTATTCTTGTCTTGTCATTCCGTTTACTTCAAGATTACTCACTTATTTAACTGAAAGTAAAAAGTAAATATGGTATTTCCAATTGAGGTTGCAATTGACCTACCTATCAAATATCTTTAATCGGCACTTCACATAATTATCGCTTGTCAAAATAATACTACCGGTTCGGAAACAAAGCAACCGACCCGTGAAGAACCGGCGAAAGAAACTCAGCCGGACTTGGTGGTGTTTTTTAACGAATACTTGACAAAAAAAACGTGTTCACAATTTACGGCACATCAAAGCCCGCTTGAAAGAGAAACCGTGACGTCATTCGGCAGCTCGTATTCTGCGGCGACCGGTCCTCACCAGCACTACCCCCCGAGACACAGCAGCCTGACCGCGGCCGCCACCAGCATCATGGGCGGCTCGAACAGGAGTAGGTGAGCGGTGCCACGTGACCTTGACCTCAATGCGCAGTGACCCTTTGGCCCGATTGGCGCAGTGGGGTGAAGCTGCCTCTTGTACCTGAGGGTTTGGCTTCGATCCCCTCTACTGGAAAAATGTTGTGCGATGATATGGCGTTTTTCCAATCTCGGGGTGTTTATACAGCGTGTCTTACAATCACGACAATAAATGAATACACATATAGAGAATAACTTTTTAGAATTGTATTAAACATTTACATTCTTTAAACATCAATATTTACAGAGTTATTAAATTTTCCAATACAAAGAATTTTAGAACAACCTTACGTATAAAACTGTAACGTAAAGTTCATTTGTAAAGGTCACAAAGCATAGAAATGGGTTGAATGAATTTAAAAGAGACAAAACATGCTGTTAGAAGGAGATGCTTGTAATGCGACGCTGTGGCAACGAATGAAAAAGTCTCGGAATGTATGAATCAGTCATTTGTAGTTGTATAGGATGTTACAAACTTTGTTTCCTTTTTATTTAATTAGTTTGTTTGAAAAAATTTTTTTTAAATTATGGATTTTGTTATGGTTATGGGATTTTTATGATTATTGGCAAGTAGCGTTGGACGTGTGTTCATTTATTGTCGCGGTGGTAACGACACGCTGTATATGTATGATATGTATTTTTTACAAAAGAAAATTATGTTTAAATTAAGTGTCTCTAATACCCGCACGTACGAGCGTTGCTTAGTTTGGGATTAGAGAACGTTGTGTAAAATATTATTCAATATTATTTATTTATAGTAAAGTACAGTGACCAATATAATATCGCCGGTAGCTTGAGAAGACTGGAAACCAGCGAGCGGTTCTGGGAGAATCTGAAGAACCTGCGATCTGGCTCGGTCAGCTACGACACGCAGCTGGACTTCATGGATTTCGTAGCGCTGTTCCGGAGCTTCAGGTGAGGGTGCTACGGAGCGTGTTCGGGTGTGAAGGTAAGAGCCGTGATGGCTCAGTGTCCGGGCCGCTCGCCTTCAATGCAATATTCTCGAGCGACCTGAGCAACTGAATCGAACCCACGGCCCGCGGCATCTGCGCCACGGAGTCCCCTAAAAATTAGACCTAGAAACATGTCAAACGACGCAGACAAATGCGCGGGTACCGGCTATTATTAAAGCTATCAGTTAAAATCTATCAATTACATTAACATTTTCATATGCGTGTCGTTACCATCGCGACAATAAATGAACACACATATAGGGGATAACTTTTTAAAGTTGTATTAAACATTTAAATTCTTTAAACATCAATATTTACAGAGTTATTAAATTTTCCAAAACAAAGAATTTTAGAACACCCTTACCTATAAAAGCGTAACGTAAAGTTCATTTGTAACGGTCACAAAGCATATGAATGGGTTGAATGAATTTAAAAGAGGCAAAACATACTGTTGGAATTAGAGGCTCGTAATACGACGCTGTGGCGCGAGTTGTATAGGTGTTACAAATTTTGTTTCTTTTTTACTTAATTAGTTTGTTTGAAAAATATATTTTTTTAATTATGGATTTTGTTTTACGTTAATATTTTTTTATGATTATTGGCAAGTAGCGTTAGACGTGTGTTCATTTATTGTCGCGATGGTAACGACACGCTGTATATCATACATACATATTCATGATACAATTTCCGAGTGTAGCTTATCATATATTGACCTCGAGAAGGTCGGGCGGATTCCCAACGGCCTATTCCTTCCAGTTTAGTAATGCGGCCGGAGCTGAGGGACGTGTTCGAGCAGCTCGCGGTCCCACGCCCACGCTGCCCACTGCTGGGCGCCGAGAAGAGCCGCAGCTCGCCCGAGCTGTTCCGCAGCAAGACCGCCTTCAGGACGGGTGAGGATGCGAAACATTCACTCTACTTCGTCACTATGTTGTTTTGGAGACCAGAGTTTAGCAAAAGGCTGTGCAGAGTTGAGACAATGATACGAATGAAAAGTCGGGACTCGGAAGTTGTTTCTTTAAATCATACTCTCTCAGAATAGTTTGTTTGTGAGAATGTGGCAAGTGATGACCGCCGCCCATGGACATTTGCAACACCCGTAGGGTTGCAGTGCGTTGCCACCTTTTATAAAGTGGGCCCCGGCTACCTCGCTCACCAGACGAAACGCGGAAGTGTAACACTTCCACCTCACGCCGATCCATGAGGTCTTGGTACTCACTCGGACGGACCTGCCCATTCGTGCAACAGCCGAAGCTCGCCGTGGCGCTTCTGCAGCAATGGCACGTGGATCATCGACAATCACTACATAGCTATAAAACAAAGTCGTCCCGCTGTCTGTCCCTATGTATGCTTTGATCTTTAAAACTACACGTTCTTGATGCGGCTTTTTTTACTAGATAGAGTGATTCAAGAGGAAGGTTTGTATGTATAATACATTGCACCCGTGCGTAGCCGGGGCGGGTCACTAGTTCATTAAAACAAGTGCGTTGAATTATGAGAGAAATTGTCAAACCTACAGTCTTTTCACCTGATGGTGTTCGCCCTGGCATCCAAAACATCTGTGGGCTTTCAGTAGCATTTTTATGGAGAAAAGGGGCAGACGAGCAGTAGGCATACCTAATGGTAAGTGATCACCGCCGCCTATGAAATCCTGCAACACCCGAGGGCTCACAAATGCGTTGCCGGCCTTTTCGTAGAAAGCGGATCCCGGTCGACTTTTTTCAACATCAAGTTCTCTTTCACGCACAAACCAGCTCATTAAGGCAACTGTGGCTCTAAAAAGTAAAGTAACAAACAGCCTATATATGTCCCACTGCTGGGCAAAGGCCTCCTCTGTACAGAGGGTGTTAGGACATAGATCACACTGCGGATTGGCAGATTTTTGTTGTTGTTTCGAAAATATGCAGGTTTCCTCACGATGTTTTCCTTCACCGCTGAGCACGTGATAATTCAGCACTTAAAATTAACAATTTCATTGGTGCCGGCACCGGGGATCGAACTCAGGTTGCTCGAGTATATTGGATTAAACGCGAGCGCCCGGACAATGAGCCATGAATGAATGAATACTTTATTATCACACATAAAAGGATACACAAAATTAACAATAGACAAACAAATTAATGGAGTGCCTTAATTTGTTTGCATTTTTTAAATGGAGCATGGAGCTATCGCGAAATTCATTTGACATAATGACATTTGCCCTGTTATAATGACTTCCCGATCACAAATTGGCAATATATCGTTAATTGAAGTGGTTACAGTTTTTATGACATTTTCGTTAATAATGTCATGTGTTATGTCGGGAAGAGAAGACATTTGTGTTCTTAAAATCTGATGGTCTTGCTTCCTCCAGGTCTATTGACGAGGAACGGATCGCTGGACCTGGAACCGCCAGGCGACAAGGCGAACAGGAAGAAGGCGTTCGACGTTTTAGCGGCCGCAGCACTTCCAGGTATTCCGTAGTTGGTAGCCTTCTAAAGCGGCGGCAAATCCATCTGCATCTGGATTCCATCGTATTGAAATAATGAAAATTGAAATAAACAACGAGGGATTTTGTACAAGAATAAGGAATATTTACGTTATATTCTTCTCAATTCGTTTTTCTAGCTATTAAGGCAAGTTTTTTTTTTGTTTAGACGAAGTTTTTTTTTTAGCAAGCGAGATTTCGGTTCTCCCGATATTAAGTGATATCCTCCCATGGACATTTGAAACATTCAAAGGGCTTTAGATACGTTACCTTATAATAAAGTGGGCCCCAATTACCTCACTCTCCAGACGAAACGCAGAATTATAACAGTTCTACTTCGCGTCTGTCTTCTGTGAGGTTCTTAAATAGTTCTTCTAACAATTAAGGCAACTTTTTTAATTATTTAGAAGAACGTTACTGAGACGAATCAATCAATCAAATGAAAACACTTGATTCTTAGCCAGGATATATAGACCCAATTTCTATTGATGATCTAACTTACACCAATTCTAACGAGGGACATGATCAACTTGATCTAGCAATGAAAAGGGTGTCAGTAACGCACTAATTGCCTGCCTCTTTTGTCTCTGCGTCGCCCATAGGTTGACTGGTAGAGAATGCCTTAGGCATTAAGTCCGCCTATACACAATACTAATTTTTTGTGTAAAAGTTTAAATAAATAAATAAATAAATAATTGGTTCGGACCACTGAGGTCGAGGGTAGAGCTCCGCTTTTTTATGTGACGAATTGCCATGCGAGCGGGCGGTTCACCTGTTAAGTGAATTCCGCCCATGGACATCTGCTACACCCGAGGGTTGCAGATGCGTTGGCAGCCTTTTGAAAGTCGGGCCGCTTGCTGGCGATACAGCTCAGGGGTCCCTCAGGGTCGTGTCCCGACTCCGGCGCGAGGGTGCTCTCGCTGCCGACTCTGGGCAAGTTCTGCGAGACGAGGCAGAACGAGCCCAAGAGCGAGCAGCAGTTGAAGGACATCATCCAGGTGAGTCTGAAATACTGCGACCGGCGGTCACGTAACAGTTGTGAATGAACAGAATGTTGAAAGAACTTTTCATGTGCGAAAGTGCCAACAAGCTGGCGGTTCGCCTGATGTTAAATGATAAACTCTGCAACACCGAAGGCTTGCAGATACGTTGCCACCTTTAAATTAAGTGGGCGACGGCTACCTCACTCACCAGACGGAACAGAACGGTCTTCTGTGAGGTCGTGGTACGTACCCGGACGAGCCCGCCCATTCGTGCAACAGTGGAACTGTTGCGTGGCCCTATCACAGTTAAACTGAATGGGCAGGTCCGTCCGGGTAACCGTCCGTGGGCGTGAAGCGACGCGTCCGTAACCTACGGATGTTGATGGGCGGCAGTTATCATTTCTCACTGACATAAAAAAGAATATCCGTGAAATTATACGGTTAGCCTCAGGTTGGAATCCCGCAGTGAATAAAGGTTTTGTTCATTTATCTACAAGAATTTACAATTTAAAAAAAAAGTACTGATTTTTAGTTTTGATCAAATTCAAATGAGACTGAAAGAAGTTACAATAGGCGTTTAAATAGTAATACTGAAACAGAAACTAAAAGTGAATATCAGTACTGAGTAAAATTCAAATCAAATCCAAAATCAAGTTAGAAATGAAAATATTGAAACTGCAATTATTTATATGTTACTAAATCTAAAAGGAAAGACCCTCATTGGGAAATTTAAAAGTCCAGTGCCTTTGACACCATGGATCCGATCAAATATCGGTTAGTGAACGCCACAAAGGAGGAGAGATGACATTCAACAAGTAGTACGGATGAGCTTTCGCTGTTTATTACGTATTTAATAAAAAAAAATATATAAAGCCTTTTATTCCTTGCAACAAACAATTCTTACTAGTTAGTTACTTATCCTAGTGTTATTTTAAATTTTTCTTATTAATATTTAATGAGCAAGAACCCTATCTTCACAGGTGAAGGCCTCCAAAATTTGCCAATTTCCCCGATTCTGGGCTACTTCCATCCAATGTGCTTATTGTATTAATTAATAATACATTTAAAAAAAAGTGCGTGGTGTCTCTCCGCGCGGGAGAAGTGAAACTTCGAGTGCCGCGCGTTCACTCTCGCTCTGTCTCTTTCTACTCCCCCTCCCCAGGAGCATTGAACGTTTAACGCAACAGTGCTCCATACCCCCATGGTAGCGTTAAACCTTTAACGCGACCTTGTTGGTACCTTGTACCTTCGACGTGCATTAGAAGTTTCACTTCGGAAACTGTACTCGGCGTTGTTCAGCTAGCAAGTGTCGGAAAGAGACGGAGCTTTCTCGTTACGTGACGACCCTACCGACCCGCGCCGTCCCACCGTTAACATACCCTCGCAGTCGACGAAGTAGTAAGCGCCTTGGACGTTGCAGAGACACGAACCGGACCCCACCCTGAGGGCGGAGAACTGCCTCTCCTTCGAGGGCTTCGTGCGCTTCCTCACGGACAAGGACAACTACGCCTTCGTGCCGGAACAGAGGCGGCAGCAGGCCAACAGCTTCGTTGGGTGCGTATTTCTTTTGTGGCAATCGAGCTAGCGGTTCGCCTGAGTTAAGTGATAACCCCCGCCCATGGACTGCAACACCCGCAGTCCTTCAAATGCGTTCATCATCATCATTATCAGCCGCAAGACGTCCACTGTTGAGCATAGGCCTCCCCATTAGAACGCCACAACGAACGACACTTTGCCATTTGCATCCACCGGTTGCCCGCGACTCTTATGATGTCGTCGATCCAAATGTTGCCTCTGATGGTCAAATGCGTTGCCACATTTAAACTAAGTGGGCGACGGCTGCCTCACCCACCGGACGGAACGCGAAAGTGTAACCTTATACTTTGCGCCGGTCTTCTGCGAGGTCGTGGTACTTACCCGGACGGACCTGCCCATTCGTGCAACAACGAAGACTTGCGTGGCCCTACAACATATATCATCCAGCCCTCATCCCACCTAGGTGGGGTCGGCACATGTGAATCGTTTTAAGCGGCCGAAGCGGTGCTGAGAACACCCTTACGTATACTGTAACTTAAAGTTCATTTGTAAAGGTCACAAAGCATATGAATGGGTTGAATGAATTTAAAAGAGACAAAACATACTGTTAGAAGGAGAAGATTGTTTGCGACGCCGTGGCAACGAATGAAAAAGTCTCTGAATGTATGAATCAGTCAGTTGTAGTTGTGTAGGATGTTATAAATTTTGTTTCTTTTTTATTTAATTAGTTTGTTGGAAAAATATTTTTTTTAATTATGGATTTTTTAAACGTTTTATATTTTTTATGACTATTGGCAAGTAGCGTTAGGCGTGTGTTCATTTATTGTCGCGGTTGTAACGACACGCTGTATAAACCTTAGTTTACTTTCATTTACACGTTTCTTCAATTTCACTTCTGCGCAATAATTTTCTTTAACCACAAACCTACTGTATTCAATTTTTATCGTGAGGACACCGTTATATTTGATGGTAGAGCCGCGCAGCGTCTTCTGCTGTTGCAAAAATGGGCAGGCTCGTCCGGGGAAGCACCGCGGCCTCACAGAAGACCGCCTGCATCGGAAACATAATACTTTCAGGTTTCGTCTGGCGAGTGAGGTAGCTGGAACCCATTGGTTGGCAACGCATCTGCAACCTATCAAGTGTTGTATATGTCAATGTAATGTAATGTAATGTAATGCGGTATTCACTTAACACCAGGTGAACCGCCCGCTCGCTTGACAACTTTTCACATAAAAAAGTGATTATTAAATTGAAATCAAATTTCGTAGATTTGAAGATTAATTTGTGTACTGTACCATTACAACCGCTGTAGATCTTTACGTCAATCTGAATCGCTAGGATTTTCGCAGAATACCCAGGCTTGTCCAAACCTCCATTAATGTCTATAACTTACTATTTTACAACACCAGCAATTCCGACGCCTTTTATCCTTACGGGGTAGATAGAACAGCAATATAGAATAGAATCATTGAATGGAAGAAAACACAAAAATATGTACAAACAAATAACTTTTTAAACACTACGCGTCGATAATTTGATTGATATTGTCAATCTGATGACTCGATATTGGCTTCGGCGTCGAGGGTCGTGGGTTCGATCCCCACACGGGACAACTATTTGTGTGACCCACATTGTTACGCATCTGGGTGTTTGTCCGCGTGAAATTTATGTTTGTAAAACGTCGCCTACAACACAGGATAACGTTATCCTAAATTAAGTTCAATGTTTTTACATAAAAGAAAGAAATATCTTACCAACGTGGCGATGCTTACGATGGTACGATGGCGACATACAAGACGCGCAAGACGCGTTACACCCAATAGACCGACTCCGCAGGAAACCCGCGCAAGAGGACGACGAGAAGACCACGGAGATCAGCGAAATGGAGGGTCCCCTCAGCCAGTACTACATAGCAAGTAGTCACAACACGTACCTGACCGGCCACCAGCTCAAAGGGGAGTCGTCGGTGGAACTCTACAGCCAGGCAAGTTACCCCTATGTAATATAAACACGTCTGATTTTTTCCCCAACAGCATAAGATTTGCGTTTAAGGTTCAAAGTTAAACCTTAAACGCAAAACGCATGATTGTATGATGTATTATTGATTGTATATATGATTGTAGATTGTAGATTGGATTGTATATTATGATGTATTCTCAATTTAATTAATATTTCAAGACATATTTCCACACATTTCCTCTAGAAAAAGCTTTGCTTGGTTTGGGATCTGTCCCAAACTAAGCGAAGCTTGTATTACTGGTATTAGGTAACTGATAAGCGTAAATAAACATACATCACTTTTGTAAATACATAATTCACCACCTAATTTTTAACTATACTGATATTTAAATGAAAACCGGGCATTACGAACATGCTATTTTCGTCATACATTTTTCCAGTAGCCGGGATCGAACCCACAACCTCTGGGATGAGGGGCAAAAATTTTAGTAGAAAGATTTTCGAAAAAATTTCGGCCCAGCAGAATTCGAACCCGCGTTAAAACGTTTACCGGAAATTCGCCCAGATTAAATAAATAAGTTAACGTGCCATTGACCTGACGGCGCGAAAATCTTGACACCTATGTACTTCTTTATTGCATTTTAGAAATAAGAGCTATCTAGTGTTCATAGTTTACATTTAAACTTAAAATGACTATGGGATCGAGAGATGTCGCTTTTGCTAATTATTTTTTACTGCTAGTCACTGCACTCTTGATGAACATTTAAATGTTTATGCGTATTTTAAAAGTCATTCAATTAAAAAATTACTTCGAATATGTCGAGTCTGCCATATACGCAGTGCCCTTATGAATAGGGAGAGCTTTGCCGAACTGTGGGACACAAGATGTACCTATAGGCTGTTACTTACCTTACGTTAGCTTACTAAAGGGAGTTTTGCGGTAGAGTTCCCTCCTAGAGCCGTGATAGCTCAGTGTCCGGGCGCTCACTGTTAATTCAATAATCAATATACTCGAACCCGAGTAAAAAACCTGGTGCCAGTACCAATTAAATTGTCAATTTTAAGTTCTGAATTAATTTATGTGAATAATTCAGAAAACATCGTCAGGAAACTTGCAAATTTTAGAAAAAAGAACAAAAAAATATTTCTTGCTCACATCTTTTATCTATACATGGCGCCACCAGCACAGTTAGTAAGCATGCAAAAAGAATTATGTTTTTCTTAAGCAATTTATTTTCAAAATAATCTTACGTCTACGCTTTTGTCCAGCCGTGAATTTTAAACCCTTCTATTGGAATTTTCTGTAACCGAAGGAAGACTTGAACTTATTTATGATTTAAGCCAAACTAAATTCACAGATGGCGTTGATGTAAATCCAATTAACCACCCTAATCATAATCCCAAATAAAATATACTGACATGTGTTTATTTTTCACCAGGCTAATGTTTATCAAACATGATAAGCTATGAACTTTTTTTAATATGAAAAGTTGCCAAACGAGCAGACGATTCACCTGATGTTAAGTGAATACCGCCGCCCGTGGACATCTGCTACACCCGAGGGTTGCAGATGCGTTGACAACCTTTTGAAAATTGGGCTCCGGCTACCTCACTCACCAGACGAAACGCGAAAGTATTATACTTCCACTTTACGCCGGTCTTCTGTGAGGTCGTGGTACTTACCCGGACGGGCCTGCCCATTCGTGCAACAGCAGAGGCTGCTGCGTGGCCCTACCACCGTTAAAACTTGTCATTGTGTATACCTGGCATAAACGCATCAACATTATATGTATTAGGAAAATAAGTAATAGTTTTAAAAACTAAAAATTTCTCTTATTGTAGAATATCCTGGGGTGCTGGGAGTCAATTGTATTAGAAGTTATAAAACATAGCTTTTACCGACTTATACAACTATAACTCAACGCAATAATTAAAAAACTAACCCGTGTACGTTGTGAGTGTTGAATTCATACCTCTCAATAACAAATACCAACTACCCCCCACTCTAGGCTGTAGGAAATATCACGAAGCAATAGATATCAAACCAACAACTGAAATAAATCACAACAAACTGTAGTAATATATTATTGATAAATTATTAATTAGATTAAATATGTACTTATAATATTTTAATGACGGATGAACTATCTTAAACCCATCCAACGCCTTTTTATAATAACTTTTTTTTTGTTAATCACTTTCTACAATTGCACTATTCTTAATTTAAATTTATAGAAAGTTATTTTCTACTTTTTAGTTCGGTTATCTACGAAGACGTGTATTTTAGTTTTTTTAAACAATTATTTAATAAAATTTGTAGAAAAAAGAAAAGTTTCTGGCCGCTGTGGGAATCGAACACACTTCTTGGGGATTCGCGCGAATTATTTATTTTCAAATTTTTTAGTTCAGCTACAAAGTACAAAAGCGTGTTTTTTATTTTTTTTTAAACGCGTACCTGGCACAAGGCCACTACCGGGTATCTGATTTAGAAAATCGTTTATCCTGAAGTTTCTGATCGGGATAATTAGACAACCTATTTAAATTACTGCATTGTCATCGTTCCTTGATAAGTGAACAAAGTTTCAATTCAGACTTTTTCAAGTGGGTCAAAATCACGTTCGAAAACTCCGCTGCATACGTACATACCAAGCTAATAAAAGCGTGTAAAATATATATTTCTTTCTTTCTAAAAGCATTGGATTTCGAATTCATACATAAATATGACGAAATGAATCTCACCTATAGACAAATAATAATAAGAATTGAGGACCGTATCGCAAAGGTAAGGGCCATCATCGGCAGGCTGATAAGCTTCAGGTCGGGCAATAATAGGCCCAGAATTGTGCGCACCGTTAGGATGGCGTTCGCTGGGACCAACATCAACTTGTCCCAGCCGGATATTACGCAAAAACTATCGGAGCGCATAGATGACCTGAAGCAGAGGATCGCTGCTTGGGGGAAGCGGATTCGTAGATATACCGAGAGGACGGCGCGGTTTAGCCAGAATCGCCTCTTCCAGAGTGACCAAAAGAGGCTCTACAAATCTTTGGAGCGACCAATGAGCTGTGGAACGGGCCAAGGACCAGACCAGGCCGACACTGTCGCCTTCTGGCGCAGCCTGTGGTCAGAGCCCGTAGACCACAGCGAGGGCCCTTGGACACAAGTCGCGGCGAGCCAATGTGCAGATATTACACCCATGGACCCCGTCGTCATAACACCCGAGACGTATCTGAGGCAGTCCGTAGAGCCCCGAACTGGAAAAGTTCGGGACTCGACGGGCTGCATCACTACTGGCTGAAGGGGTTCGTGGTGTGTCATGCTGTGCTCGCCCGACAGTTCCAAGAAGCTCTCGATCAGAGGTCACTCCCGAGCCTCTTTACTACTGGGGTCACTCATTTGGTTCCTAAAGATCAGGTTACCACAGACCCGAGTAAGTACCGCCCCGTAACGTGTCTACCTACCACCTATAAGACACTGACATCTATTCTGAGCATGAGAATCACCCGGCATATTAATATGAATCGGATTATGTCTCGTGCTCAGAATGGATGTCGGGGCGGTGGTCGTGGAACCAAGGAACCACTTCTCATCGACGCGGTCATTGGCAAAATGGTTAAACGCAACCGTCGGAACTTCTCCGCCGCCTGGATAGACTATAGAAAGGCGTTCGACTCGCTGCCCCATACATGGCTAAAGAGGGTCCTCGAACTGTACAAAGTAGACTGTACAGTAAGAGACTTCCTCGGGCACTGTATGGGGCAATGGAGTACGATCCTTTGTCATCTAGGCGAGCGGATGACGGCTGCGGAATACCGGATAAGGATACGACGGGGTATTTTCCAGGGCGACTGTTTGAGCCCAATATGGTTTTGCCTCTCCCTGAACCCTCTCAGCGTGTTACTGGAGGGCTCGGGGGGAGGATTTCAGCTTCGGAGAGGAGGGACAAAAGTGACCCACCTTTTCTACATGGATGACCTCAAGTTATTCGCCTCCAATCGCTCCCATTTGATGGAATTGCTTAAAGTCACTTGTGATTTCAGCAATTCTGTCAAAAAGGAGCTTGGGACGGATAAGTGCGCGGTCCTCCATGTCGAAAGGGGTAAGGTCGCTAATACGGAGGGCATAGACTTATCTATGCCCGTTAACATAAAGACCCTCTCTGAGGCTGAAACATACCGATACCTGGGTATGTCACAAAACATGTGTATCGATGAGGCTGGCATCGAAACAGTCAGTTCGTGATGTGTTTTTTGCACGCCTGACAAAGGTGTTTAACAGCCATTTGTCAGGCGTGAACAAGGCACGCGCATTTAACGGCTGGGTCATGCCAGTCCTCATGTATACCTTTGGCATACTCAGGTGGACTCAAACTGAGCTCAACGCCCTGGATCGAAAAGTCCGCACAACTATGACGTCCCACAGAATGCATCATCCGAGATCGTCAGTGATGAGGCTGTACCTGCCGCGGAGGCATGGTGGGAGGGGCTTTTTAAGCGCCCTCACCATGCACAACCGCGAGGTTTGCAGCCTCCGTAACTACTTTCTGGCGAGATCGGATGAATCAATCTACACGGACGTCATTAATTGTGATAAAAGACTTACCCCTCTATCCTTAGCCAACGAGCAATGGCAGGACCCGGGAGTACTGAGCGTTTCCGACCGAGAGGCCGTATGGAAGGAGAAAGAGCTCCACGGGAGGTTCTACAAGGCTCTACACGAGCCTTTCGTAGATACTGTTGTCTCCCTTAACTGGCTACGTTTCGGTGACCTCTTTGGGGAAACCGAAGGTTTTGTCTGTGCGATACAGGATCAGGTTATTAAGACGAACAACTATCGGAGATACATCCTAAAGGATGGCACCGTCGACATCTGTCGAGCTCGCCATCCCGGGGAGTCGCTTCGGCATGTTATCTCCGGTTGTTCCATGCTTTCTAACTCTGAGTATCTGCATAGACACAACCTAGTAGCCAGAATCCTACACCAGGAGCTCGCTCTGAAATACGGCCTCGTGGATCGGAAACTGCCGTACTATAAGTACTCTCCGGAGGCCGTGCTCGAAAATGACCGCGCCAGGTTCTATTGGGACCGGTCCATCATCACGGACAGGACGATTGTCGCGAACAAACCTGATATCGTGTTGATGGACCGGGCACAGTCGCGGGTATTTTTGGTCGACATTACCATTCCATATGACGAGAACCTCGTGAAAGCCGAAACAGATAAGAAGACGAAGTATCTGGACCTGGCTCACGAGGTGACCGACATGTGGGCTGGTGTGCCGACCGAAATTATCCCGATAGTCGTGTCTGCCAATGGGTTGATCCCAGTCAGCCTCTCCGGACATCTGAGGCGACTGGGACTCCGGGACGGATCGCTCCAGGCTCAAATGCAGAAGGCGGTGCTCCTCGATACAGCCCGCATCGTCCGCCGGTTTCTCTCCCTATCGCCCTAACCCTCGGCCGTTTGGTCTCCCCTGCCGAGGGCTTCCGTCTGGTTGGGTCCTATTTATATATGTATTATATACAACATTTATATGTATATGTTTATTTTTATCCATAATATTTATTTTATATATGCAATATGTATCTATATTTTTATTTATAAACCCAACCAGACGAGAAAACAAATGAATATCCCCCCAAAATAATAATAACGATGCGGGCGGTGCCCCTCGATACCGCCCGCATCGTCCGCCGGTTTCTCTCCCTTTCACCCTAACCCTCGGCCGTTTGGTCTCCCCTGCCTAGGGCTTCCGTCTGATTGGTTCCTATTTATTTATGTATTATATATAATATTTATATCTATATGTTTATTTTTTACATATAAACCCAACCAGACGAGATAACAAATGAATATCCCCCACAATAATAATAATAATCTAAAATAAAAAATCGTTTATTCACTTCACATTACAATTGAGGTCATCTTAAAAATAATTTATCCTCTGTACGCTTTCTTCGATACCTCCTCCACACGCATTAAACAAACAAACACACACTAAAAAGTAAACACGAGCGAGACGGAGAAAGAAAGACGAAGCGTCTCCTGTCTCACTCCTGCGTTCAAACGCTACGCCATTTTAAACTTAAGAGAATAACGTTTGACACTGCTTTTAAACACTGCATATTTGTTTGTAATGGTCATTGCCAGTCACTTTAAACAATTATGAATCGTATCCGGAGGCGTTTAGTGCGTGTTTCGCCTGTACCAGAATCTCGCTCGATAGTCATCGCTGCAAGTCAGAAATGCCGGCGCCGTACCAGAGTGCACGATGTATCTGAAAATCAAACAAAAACCGGTTGAACCGTGCCGAGTTTGTCACCGAATTGTAATATAATAAGTATTCCCCAAGAAAAGGTATCTTATTTTGGAGAAAGACTTCGGTCTACTTCGCCATCATTCATTTGAAAAAATTGTCGATAGATGGCGTTGTCCTACATTCTATATAAGAAAATTTTCAACGGAACTCCTTTTTTTGTGAAAATAACGTTTACTCATTACTCAATCGCTATACTATATGATGTTGTTTTATTCTGTTTTTTAGTATTTGTTGGTAGAGCGGCAACAGAAATACATCATCTGTGAAAATTTCAACTGTCTAACTATCACCGTTCATGAGATACAGCCGGTTGACAGACAGACAGATGGTGACAGACCGACAGCGGAGTCTTTTAATATGGTCCCGGTTTAAGCTTTGGGTACAAATTCCGACAATGTCGGAGTTACGAGTTAAAACACATAAAAAAATACAAATGAAAAAGTGGTAGGTCCACGCAACAGCACGAATGGGCAGGTACCACGAACTCACAGAAGACCAGCGTAACACTTCCGCGTTTCGTCTATTGAGTGAGGTCACCGGGATCACTTCACTAAAAGGTCTTCCTTTACTTCTCACATAAAAAAGCCCCTATTGAGAACCTCCTTATCGAAGTAGGTGGAAGCGCATCCACCAGCCACTCTCACCTCCTGCCCCATAGTCCCGGGCTCATAGAATAGGGCTGAGGTATCCCCTGCCTGTCGTAAAAGGGGACTAAAATGGGACACGGATTGGCAGCAGCTCGATGTGGCCTCGAGCTGCTGCAAGATGGCGAGGGAATCGGGGAAGGATAGACCTATCCTTCTCCGGGACGTGCTCAGACAGATCCCGGAGTCCCTCGAAAGGTACATAAGATGGCCACCGAGGGGGGTTTTAGTGGGTAAGAACCCTATTAACAGGTTTAAGAAATTTATTAAAGAAAAACTTTATAAAAAGTATATAATTTTCTAAGAAAAAAAAATGAATTACAAAAAAGCGGATACCTACGGAGTTTCTTTCGCCTGTTTCTTCTCCGCTAGAGGAACCTCATTACGAAACGGTGGTAGATTTAAAAAAAAAATATTACTATCGATGGATGAAATGTAAGTTTCTTGTGTCGATGAATAAATGATTTTGATTTTTTTTATTTTTATTTTGACATAACCCTGTCATGCAAGGTGACAGGGTGTCTTTCGAAGATCCCCCCTCCCTTGATACCAAAAAAAAACCTCTCACCTCACCGCCCCGTTGTGGCCGAGGGACATTAGCTGGCATCGGCTCGCACTCCTCGAGTGCCAGGTGCAAAGCGAGGTGGTCGCCTCGTCGGGGAACATCACGTAGTCTTCTGTGTGGTTCAGGATCGCCTGCGCGTGGTGCTCCTGCTTGCCTGAGGACCAATTGGCCGAGAGTAGAGCATTAGCCTATACGTCCAGGGTTCAGATTGGGGGTTATCGCGTTTCGGCAGCGGCCAGGGTTCATGGCCGATTGACAAAAACTGGAGCAACTATATGTCCACAGGGTTCAGACTCGATTGGGGACCTACGCGTTTCGGCAACGGTATCGTCGCGGGTAGAAGTGAAAGGGTTCAAACTCGATTGGGGATTAACGCGTTTCGGAAACAGCCAGGGTACATGGCCGATTGACGAAAAATGGAGCAACTATATGTCCACAGGGTTCAGACTCGATTGGGGACCTACGCGTTTCGGCAACGGTATCGTCGCGCGTAGAAGTGAAAGGGTTCAAACTCGATTGGGGATTAACGCGTTTCGGAAACAGCCAGGGTACATGGCCGATTGACGAAAAATGGAGCAACTATATGTCCACAGGGTTCAGACTCGATTGAGGACCAGCGCGTATCGGCAACAGTATCGTCGCGGGTAGGAGTGAAAAGGGTTCAAACTCGAAAGGGACTTCCGCGTTTCGCTACCGTCGAGGGTAGCAGTGAGAAAGTAACAGCCTATATGTCCCACTGCTGGGCAAAAGCCTTGTGGTTCGAACCCATTGGGCGCTTTCCAGTTTCATCACCGCTACTTTCGTGGACAGTAGTATAAATTAACAGCCTATACGTCCCACAACTGGACAAAAACAGGGGGTGGGAGCAAGGTCCACGTGACGAGCACGGGATAAATCCAACTTAAAATTTAAAATTTCAATTTCATCGGGCGCCGGGCATTTAAACTCGGGTTGCTTCGAGTGTTACATAAATACATGTTTATACATAAATACATACATGTGTATGTATGTATTTATGTATAAACATGTATGTATGTATAAGTAAGTATTACTAGAATTTATTACCCATTATTATATGCATTGTGTTTAATTCTACTTTGCTGCCCTAGTCATTTTATTTCTGTTTTACCTAGGGTTAGTTAGAGAATCCAGTATAGCAATAAGCTCGCCTACTACAAAATTAAGTGCAATAAAGATTAAATAAATAAATATCCGGGGCCCACTTTATTAAAAGATATCGACGCATATGCATCTGTGTTGCAAATGTCAACGGAGGCTTTTATTGTGGTAAGTAAAAGGGCTCGTCCGGGTGAGTACCACGACCTCACATAAGACCGGCATAAAGTGGAAGTATAACACTTTCGCGTTTCGTCTGGTGAGTGAGGTGGCCGGAGCCCAATTTTCAAAAGATGGTCAACGCATCTGCAACCCTGGGGTGTAGCAGGTGTCCATGGGCGGCGGTATTCACTTAACATCAGGTGAACCGCCGAGTCGCTTGCCGACTTTTCGCATTAAAACAAACCCACCTGTGGTCCCAGCGCCCGTGTACTGTATGAGGCATCTGCTGCTGGCCAGTTCCCACAGCTTTATCGAGGAGTCCAGCCCCGAGGTCAGGAGATACTGGAGGTGGAAAAGAATATATAGAGACGTTACTTATAGTACCAGCCTATACATGTCCCACTGCTGGGCAACGGCCTCCGCTTTACAGAGGGTATCGGGGCATAGTCCACGCGGCCCCACTGCAGATTAGCAGAGTTCACATATCTTCGAAATAGTTTTATTTTTGTTATTATTTCGAAGATATACAGGTTTCCACACGATGTCTCCCTTCCCCGATGTGCACGTGATAAGTCAGCGCTTTGATCAACAATTACATTGGTGCCGGCACCGGGATTATTACTTGCTATACTGAAATGCCCGAGAATATTGAGTCAAAGTAAAAGCAAGATTAGGAAGATGTCCACGAGCGGCAGTCACATAACACCAGGTTAACCGCCCGCTCTTTTCCCAACATTTTACATTAAAAAAATGTGAGTAACAATGGCGGGTAACTCAGCGCTCTAAAGAGAATTACAACACCGAATTAAGTTTATAACGGTTCAGTGTTCGAAGTGATAGAAGTGTATTAAGCTATAACAGCCCATGCTATGGTGTGCATATACGAGTACATAATACGTTATTGTTATCATAATACGTTATCGTTATTGTTATGTCCATACATAGCGGCCAATAACGTGTTAAGGTAACGTAGCGAGTGATAGCAAGCGATACAAAAATTATTATATCGTAGAGTTTAATAACGGCCAAAAGTTGCGAGCCAAGATAATAACCGCGTGTTGAAGTATCCTAGCGTCTAATAACAGCGTGGTCCGCCTCCGTAGCTTTTCGTAGCATGAAAGCGTAGAAGCATGCAATAACCGAGTGTTAAAGTATCATAGCGTCTAATAACAGCGTGTTCCGCCACCGTAGCTTTCCGACGCATGGAAGCGTAGCGGCGTGCAGTAAACGCGTGTTAAAGTATCGTAGCGTCTATTAACGTCGTGATCCGTCTCCATAGTTCTTCGTAGCAATACGTAGCACGTTGCAACACAACGATCATGGCGACTAACAACAGCGTATCACGGCTCCGTAGCTCTTCGTAGCTATGCGCAGCGCTTTGCTACACGAGGGCCTACCTTGCTGTTCCTGGTGAAGGCGACCGAGCAGACCTCAGCGCCGTCGTGCGCGCTCAGGAATGTGTTGAAGCAGCGGTTGGACACCGTATCCCACAGCTTCACGCTGCCGTCCGCGCCGCCGCTCGCGAAGTACTTGCCGTTCGGCGAGAACCTGACGGAGAGGTGTAAGCTGAGCATTGCTCGGCGCCGAGCTTCACTCGGTCCGAGCAATGTTTAGGTGCGATTTGCCTTGATTGGACGTGCGGCATCGAACTGTGCTCAGGTGCTACTGGCCGCGATAGGACATTGCGGCGGCTTCGAGCACTACTTTTGTACTCGCCTAGACGTTAGACAAGTCCGATATTTTTTTTTAAACGATGAGAGGAGATTTCAATTCAATACCATATCATTCTCTGGGACGATGTACCTTTGCTAGTTGAAAAAGATCCCGAAACCTCCAATAGTTGCAGAGTTCACGTCTTATTACGAGCAAAGAAACTAATTATCAATTTCAATTTTAACCGTGGTACGGCCAGGCAACAGTCTTCTCTGTTGCACAAATGGGCACCACACAGAACACCGGTGTGAAATGGAAGTGTTGTACTTCTACGTTTCGTCTGATCAGTTAGGTAGCCCGAGCCCAGTTTAATATGACGTGGCAACGCATCTGCAACCCGATAGGTGTTGCAAATGCCAATGGGCGTCGGTTACCACTCTCTCATCTGGTGAACCGCCAGCAGCCACCTGCTCACATAAAAATAAAATATATGACTATGAGCATATGTTCATTTTTACCCGAATATGCCAGAAGGACGGTTATCTTTTTCGAGTGTATGTATGTATATAATATATGTATAATTGTTTGTAACGCTCTGCAGCCTGAACGGCTTGATGGATTTTAGCTTGGGGGGTGTCGCTAGATTCGCATTTACTATGAGAGCGACACTGGGTACATTAAAATAAAAAAATACACAGAAACGCAGTCGGGTTTTTTTTTAGTTTTTTAAATTATATTCTACGTGTACGATGTGTAGAAGGCGGTTGAGTGCTAGGAGTGACAGCAGTGTGAGCGCGTGTGCGTTTATACGTGTTGGTGTAATTTTTGTTATGGCCATCACTGCCACCGGCACTCACTTGATGGAGTTGACCTGCTTCTTGTGGTGGTGGGTCAGGACTGGGCACACGAAGCACTGGCTGGTGGTGACGTCGTACAGCCTGATCACCGGCTGGGTGGTGGAGGCGATGATGTGGTCGCCCAGCGGGTGGAAGGCGACGCACAGTACCTGCTCGGCGTCCTGGAATGAGGCAGGCCACGAGATCGGTCATTCGCTCTTATAGGTCATTCATTCCTGTCAATCATTCGTTCTTATAGGTCATTCGTTCTTTTGTATTGGGTATACTCATTCGGTCTTGTCGGTCATTCGGTCATTCGGTCTTGTCGGATATTCGTTCTTGTCGTTCATTCGTTCATTTGCTCATAAGTTCTCAAATGTCTTAAGGAAACCGTTGAAACGATTTCGTCTAGAGTGAGATTAAAATAGTGCGTCTAGAGTCGTTCATTCGTTTGTAACAAATGTTAGGTTATCTCAAATTCAATGTAAGCTCAGAATGATTCGTTCAGTTCATAAATATCGTTAATTTAAATGTTGTTTTAGGTCGTTCGTAAGTGTTTTACTTTGATTGTTTACTTTTAAAGATTAGATAATAATCATTCATTCACTTCCATGTTAACTATTTAATACTGCGTCGTTTATTCAAAGCAAAAATTTCTTTATTCAAGAAAGGCTTTATTCACTCTTATTGAATGTCAAAACAACAACCGGTTCACTTAACTGTGAGAGAAGTCAACTTGTTTATTTATATGAAACAAAATTTTCAAAGTATAATATCAGCAGCGGCCGCTGCATTGAATCAACAACGCATTCCATCATTCAATCGTTCATTCCAGAGATGTCATTCAGTTTCGAACGAACGGTTCTATATTCATTCGTTCTTTTAACCACACCGCTAGCTGCCCATTCGCTAGTGGGAGCTCATGCCCACCGTTATCGACTTGTACGCCTTCTTCGCTGACGCCTTGGTGATGTCGAAGAGTTTGATGCAGCAGTCCCTGGAGGCGGAGACGAGGATCTGCTCGCGCGGGTGGAAGTCCAGGGCGGTGATCTCGTCCGTGTGGTCGTACCTTGGCGCAAAGCGGTGAAGTCACACTCTTGCTAAGGCCGCGAGCCCCACTCGCACTTGACCGGTTTTTATTGTTATTGTTGACTAGCGACCCGTATATACATATAACATCGGTTGCGTAGTTTTAAAGATCTAAGCATACATAGGGACAGACAGACAGTGGGACAACTTTGTTTTATACTATGTAGTGATAGTGATTATTTTTTTTATTTATACAAAGATGTAAGGTGTTTCACACACAGTAACCACTCACATAGAGTATGGTCAAAAATTTAATAAATATTTACCAATTGTGACCGTACTGCTAATAATCCTACAAATAGACAAAATTACTCTTATATATTCCGAAGACTGCATAATCAAGCTACATTTGAAATCCCTTATCCAACACCAAATTATTGAATATTTATTGTGCAATTTACAATGCCCACTTGATGCATATATAAGAAAAAATAACAAATATATTTCAATGAGACAACTGCGCCAATCCACAAAAATGCTGCGTGGAGCTTTTGTAAATTAGATGCCTACAATCAGCCTCGGGGCATATATTTTACTTTTCCAGCACCATGCAGCAGTCTCTGTTGCAAGAATGGGCAGATCCCCCTGGTAAATACCACAACCTCACAGAAAAACCTATGTGGAATGGAGGTTTTATACTTTTACGTTTCGTTTGGTGAGTGAGGTAACCAAAGGCCACTTAATTAAAAGGTGACAAACCTATGGGTTGTCACCTTTTAATAAATTAATTGGAACCACCATCTCACTTGCCACTTGCTCAGATGAAAGAAAATATTCTATATTGTACTCGCACATTCTTCAAAATATCAGAGTTGAATGTAACATTTTTCTTCGTTTCTCTCCTTTTATTTATCTTTAAGAGGTGTGAATTTTTCTATATATTTCTAGTACAGTATAGTAATAATAGGCAAATTAACAACATTAATAGTCATTATAGTAATTTCCTTGGATTTATTAAAGAATTTTATCTGTCACAACCAATGCAAGGTCTTTCTTTCGTCTGGAACATTATCAACATTATCATAGTTAAATTCTTTTTTGTCTTTTTTTTTAAACACTGGCCTTTCTTTAGGATAACAATATCCTGTGTTGTTAGGAAGTTTTACAAACATAAATTTCATGTGGACAAACATCCAGATGCGAAACAACTGTGGGGCACACACAAAGTTGTCCCGTGTGGCAATCGCATCCACGAACTCCGACGCCGAAGCCAACAGCTTGGCAACTGCGCTACGGAGTCAATAAATCTGCCCTTTCTCTCCCCATATAAGTCATGTCCAAGCTATGCCGTAACTCACAATGTCCTGATAACCGGATGCCCCTGTTGCTCCCTGCCGGGGTCAACTTCCTCGGGTGCGGATTTCGCCAACATCCTTTCCACATCCAGAATCTGCAGCATGTAATTACTATGAGAAAGATTTTCATAGAGTATGTCATATGATATGCTGTAAAAACTATACAGCCTGTCTTTACCACCGCGACAATAAATTAACACACGTCTAACGCTACTTGCCAATAATCATAAAAAATATTAACTTTAAAATAATCCATAATTAAAAGGAAATATTTTTCAAACAAACTAATTAAGTAAAAAAGAAACAAAATTTGTAACATCCTATACCTATACAACTACATCTAACTGATTCATACATTCAGAGACTTTTTCATTCGTTGCCACAGCGCCGAATTACAAGCCTCTCCTTCTAACAGTATTTTTTGTCTCTTTTACATTCATTCAACCCATTCATATGCTTTGTGACCTTTACAAATGAACTTTACATTAAAGTTTTATATGTAAGGAGCTAAGCAATTTTAAGCAATTATATTCATAATGTAATTAATATTCATCACTCACACCCCTACAGCATTTCTTTTATCATAAAATGTCATTCTACACTAGAGGAAAATCCCAATATATCTCTCCACCAAGTCCTCGGAACAACTTTTGGATAGCACAATTTATTAACATGGAACATAAACATTCAACAACAATTAAAAATATATTTTCCCCTATACCAGAAAGCTATATTAATATATAAAATCTATACTCATAATAATAGGTTCTTGACCCTAAAATTAAAAAGCCAATTTTGATTTCGACTTTTCACATACTAAAGACCTCTAAGCTGACCTAAACTAAATTTGACTTTGCCTATGAAATCACAAGCCAGAGTCTAACCTTGATACTAGCATCCACACTGCCTGTTGCAACTAGCTGACCACAGGCGCTAAAAGCACCTGCCCGACACGCCATCTTGTGTGACGTCACATAGGCAGTCTCATAAGTGGCAGGCTCGGGGGCCAGCGAGGATGCATCCATCTCATACTCCAAATCTACAAGAAAACAAATATTTTAATAACATTAACACTATTTCAAACTGAATTGTAACTATAAAACATTCTTTACTGTCTTATTTTACATTGATATAGTTTGGTGTATTGATTGAGGTTGGATGCGCAGTCTAAAGTAGCTTATTTTGTGATGGGCGAATCCTGGAATCACATTTTGTACTAAATAGACTTGGTAAATGTGCCGGTAACCTTAATTTTGTTTACCTTCAGTTTATTATAATTTCTGTAGTAAGGATATATTGCACTTTCTGTTGAAGGGCGGGAGCCACTGCTAATTTTTCATTTTATATATAATCAATGCTGTGTCCTCACCAAATCCTGTAGTTCCCAGCAGATGCTCAGCACCACTGGACGCTGCTAGTCTATCCTTCCTGTCCGGTTCATGTTGTAGTCCGACCATCATTAGGTTTAACAATCTGTAGTATAAGTGAAGGTTGAAATAAGTAAATATGGGTACAATGAGAAAAATGTTTAAAAGTACTCTATTATTAATGACTCTATTACATCATGCAAAATTGAACTATGCCAAATAGAATGAGGTGTGATGGCACCATGCAAGAGACCCTTGTTTCACTTGGGCAGTCTCGTTCGGGAAAGTACCACAACCTCACAAGACTGGTGTGAAGCTGAAGTGTTATACTTCTGCATTTGCGAACTAGCCGGGGCCAACATTATTAAAAGGTGGCAATGCATCTGCAACCCTATGGGTGTTGCAAATATCCATTGGCAGCTCCCTTGCCACCTTCACATATAAAAAAAATAATGAATTTTGCATTTACATGAATTTACATATTATTTGGATTTATAGAACAATATGGCATATAGAAGTAAAGACCAATTAATTTTCTATCTGTTAAAACATTGAGATTTATGAAGATTATTTTGCAATTTTAGAACATACCTATCACTTGGTGGACATGGGGGATCAGCATGAACTGCCGCAGATAAAGTTGTCCCTATAGCTTGGAACCCATCATAATATAGTTGACTGTGGAAGGAGTAGGTTATTATGTTAAAACATAAAAATAAATAGGTTAATATGTTTAAGACTTATTTCATAATTCTTCTCCTAACCTTTTACATTGAGTTTTGTGACGAAATTTCAAATTTTCTCTTATAAATCTTTTCTATGGTTATGTCAAACCTCTAAATACAAATGCAGACTAACTCTACCTCTAATTATAAATACATTGAATTAAAAATTAAAAAAAAAAGCAAAATTACACTACGGACAGCACAATTTTTAAATCCTATTGATTACGCAGATTATTAATTAAAGTATTGCTCTAAAAACACGATATTCGCAGGAAAAAACAGAAGTAAAAGGTGCATTTTACCTTATTATCATCCGATACAGTAGCTCTCGGTTTTTAACAACGTTCCGCGTATCAACATCTGCGTTGCTTTCTTTCATTTTAATTTAAAATCAATAGAAAACCTACGAAACTGGCAAAATAAACAAGCGTAATAAAGTTACAATTACAACAACACGAAAAAAAGAAAACACAGAAATGACATTCGATAGTGGTCGATCTTTATAACTGTCAAATAAGTTTCGTTCTTAAATAAGTAAATTTTAATAATTACTATTTCATCGCTATAATTTAATCAAAATTAATATTATTACATTAAAAATTAATGTTAGTTAAAAACTGAACGGAGTCAGGTCTAGTCTGACGCGATCAATAAACTTGAACATGCGCTTTAGTGTCAACACCTTTCACGGTGAGTCGCTTAATCTAATCGCTTGATTCACTTTCCACTTCACAAACATTGATCATTCATAATAGTTGTTTAGTGCTAAGAAAAAATGTATAAATTATATATTACTAACTTCTTTGACATTAATCACATGACTGAAATCCTATAGAGTAACAATTTTTCAATAAAAGTTTACAACAAAAAAAATGGATTTTTTAAACACTATTTGCATTATCCAAAGGGAAATCGTACGTGGCTCTAGGATCGTGATGTCATCACCCCCTCTTCGTCCTCATGCCCTTATCCAATGTAGGTACGGTCGGCACAACATGTGTATTATATTTTCAGAGGGGTTAGCTAGGTTTTTCTAGGACTGGCCGCCTGCCTGACGACAACTTCAATTTTGAAGAAATTCTCAAATATTAAACAATTATCTGTGGGTCACAGTAATCGTAGTGGTTATATTCTCTTTGGTGGGCCACATGATTAGCTACTTTTCCCGAGCGGAAATCGAACACAAGACCTCCGGCGCTGAAAACGAAGTTTAGCTATTGCACCACTGAGGTCCGACTTATCTGAGACTCTCTTAACCTGAAAATACTTTTTATACGATATTTTAGTTCCTTACATAGATCTATCAATCTTCTATCGTGAACTGACCATCATAAGATAAAATAATTATTATAGACTTCGATTTTATAACTTCGATCAACCAATCCGTCGCCCTATTTTTTTGGTTTTGGAGTATGAAGGGTTTTTCTATACAGTTATTACTTAATACATATTATTCGTTACGGAAAAGATACTATTACTTATGTAAGAGATTTTTAACACTCATTATTTTTTATAAACAAGCAATTATGTTTGAAAGTTATTATTTTTTATAAGAGTATTTCTTTTTTTCTGTTGTTGGAAACTTAATAATTACATTATTCTATAACACATAACTTTCTTCTTTAAGCAAATTTTCGTCATTTTGTGTGGCATTGACGTCTCTTGTTTTTCCAAATTTATTATAAAGTTTTACAATCCACCTGACTATTGCTATCACATCACCTATTGCAATACAATTTACCTCTGGCAGGTACTTCTTACCGGATGCCGGTGCGTCGAGCTGGACTGCTGGGACGGCGACGATGGCAGCCCTGTCATATATCACGGCCACACCTTTACTACCAAGATACCGTTCAGAAGAGTCGTGGAGACTATAGCAAGGTAGTTATCGATTTTTCATACAAAGATTTATGGGATAGAAAGAGATAGAGGACAGGTGCTAGTGTTAATCGTTATTTTTATTATGTTTGAGATAAGGTATTTTTCTGGGAGAGTTCGAACTGATTCTAAATTGGGATGTGCGTATACGAGTAATCTTTTTTTTTATATCTCTTGTACAACATTTTAAGTAATGAAAAACCAAAATGACAACAATACCAATGAAATTAATATAAGCGGTATCAGCTAAACCGAATCCAATGTACAAAATAATTTTTAATGTCATTAAAATTTGTAGTAAAAAGTACGAAAAGTTTTTATTACGAAATAATCGAACCTACGTCATAAAAGACGTTAAGATTTTCGTCAGCGTGGCAATGAGCCGTTTAGCTTAGTGTTTATAAAGCGTCCGGGCGCGAACACCGAAGACGTGGTTCAATTCCCACAGCGGCGAAAACCTTTTTGTCTTCAAATTTTTATGTTTAATCTTAGGTGCAGAGATTAGCACTGTCATCATCATTTCAGCCGGTTTGAGTCCACTGCTGAACATAGGCCTCCCCCATAGACTGCCACGAAGTACGATCCTGAGCCACCTGCATCCATCGACTTCCCGCACATTTGCACAGGTCGCAACTTGTAATTTGCACATTAGCACTATAAAAATGATTTTTTTATTTTCATTTATTAAATGACGGAGTTCTGAGGTATCTAAAAACAAACACCCTCCCGAATTGAGATCCTCCTCATTTTTGAAGTCGTTTGAAAAGAACATCGAGTCTACTTTCGTAATCCATTATGCGGCCAATACCATAGAAGAGGCGTTAGATGTAATTGCGATCTTTTTTATTCTTCTTTAGAAGTGCTTTCGTGGCCTCACCGTATCCGTTGATCCTGAGCATAGAGAACCACTGCAGCCTCCCGCAGCAGCAGGTCATGGCCAGCACTTTTGAGGTCAGTAAAATAAATATTATCCAATCAATTAACAAATAGAAAATTAAATTCAAAGACAGACACAGCCAATCGATTTTAATTGAATATACTCGAGCAACCTGAGTTGAAATCCCGGTGACGGCACCAATGAAATTGTTTGTTGTTGTTTATTTTAAGTGCTTAATTCTCACGTAGTTAGTGCTGAAAGAAATCATCGTAAAGAAAACTGCGTATATTTTCGAAATAATAACAAAACAAACATATTTCGAAGATAATCATGTGAAGTCCGCCAATCCGCAGTGGGGTCGCGTGGTGGACTATTTCCTAATAAACTGTGTCCTTTTCCCAGCTGTGGGACATAATTATGTAGACTGTAACCTTACTTACTTTTTATTGAATTTTTTTTAATAAATATTCGTAAAACCGCACAATAAATATTTAAAAAAAAAGTATTGTAGATTAAATTCAGAGAGCTGTTTAGATTGCGATAGAACTAAAAATGAGTCCTAGCCCCTACCAGGCGCCCATCAAACTTCTTTTGTTTAATGAGAATTAAGTATCTTGCGTAGGTACCATAAAAGCCACAAACGACTGTATAGCTAAAAAAATACACATGAATTTTTAGATTTTTTTTTTTTTAATATAAACGTTACATTTTAGGCTTAGGCCTGTTTCAAATACTCACAAGTCCATATTTTTATTAACGAAAAACAAAACCGACTTCAAATATCTTTCTCTGTATTCATTTTATAGTTGATTTTCAGGAGTTTCCTAATCTCCGGATCCCAAGATCCAATACCAATGATATTATATAATATGGGACCACAGGGGAAGCAGCAGCTTACAAATATAAAAAGAATCATCGAAAGCGGTTCACTCAATCAAAAGATCTGAGGTAACAAACAAAAAAAATACAGTCGAATTGAAAACCTCCTCCTTTCGAAGTCGGGTAAAAATAGAATAAATGTACGGTGAAATATTCACCACTATTCACACAACACATCCATTATTAACTTCTCACACTCAAGCTTGTTAAGAACAAGAGAAAGCCGTTGTACACCGGTCGTGTTTCATCCAGGCAGTGTTCGGAGAGCAATTGGTGACGTCATTCCTGTTCGAGGTCGACTACACAGACGAACCGCGCCTACCCAGCCCCGAGCAGCTGAAGTACAAGGTGACATATTCCTAGGAGATACGTAAAAAACCGGACACTCCATTGCGCTAATGTAAGCCACACCGATTAGAATACACCGTACAGAATAGATTAACACTTTGTAAAAGCTCTCTCTTCCCTAAGAGGACACCTTTTTTTACACCGCCGATTTTCTATGAGGCTGTGGATAGACCAGCCTATTCCTGCAACAGGGAGGCTATTGCGTGGCCCTGCCGCAGTCAAATAAAACCTTAGGAGGGGCTCCAAGATCTCCTACGGAACGCACCAGTGTTATCGCTACTGCGCTTGAACAAGCCTCGGAGAAGAACAAACCTTCCCCCATTTCCTTTACCGTCTTGTGGTAGCGCATACCACTTATTGCTGCCCGTGCCGATTCCACTAAAATGGATAGTTTTTGGATCCAGTGCTCCCTTCAAATCACCTTTTACGACAAGCAGGAGAGATCTTAGTCCTATTCTATGAGTCCGAGAATACAGGGCTGACGCTAAGAAGACATCCAGAACATGGTGCTGCGGCAAATGAGTCTCCTGGCCCGGACCCCTCTGACCTAAGATTTCGACAGTAAATTGCTTAAATGCATAACCATAAAAGTCTCCTTTTCACGCCATTCACTTACTTAAGCCGCAAATATCAAAACCATGACACATCCACGGAGATAGCAATGGAAGGAGTTGTCAAAGTTTTTATATTTTTTTTTGTCCTGATATCTAGGTGCTGATCAAAAATAAGAAGCTGCTCCCCGTCGAGTCCAGCCCCACCATCGGTCTGACCGGCGCCAGCTCAGCCCAGGCCTATGGTGGCGTCCTGGCTACGGCGTTCAGGTATTAGCAGATCGGCCAAAGCATTCAAAGTAACATCAATGTTACTTTCACCCACAGTTGTTTCAAGCTCCTGTAGAAATTAGAAATTGCCACAGATAAACAAAATGTTTCGCCGTCTATAGAACAGGCTATGAGAACGATCATTATTATATTCTTTTTTTTTCTTTAATGGTTTAAACGACAAATATTAGTCCCACCCCCATGTAGACCGATGACCTGAGAAAGGTCGCTGGTGATAGGGTGGACTAGCGGCTATAGCAATTAATTAAAACGTAAATAATACTTGAAAACATTGTGTTTACTTGTATATTAGAAAATATAACTATACATAATGACACCGCACATCAAAAGTAAAAAAGAACATAATCCAAATTCAAATGCAGTGTATCATAGACAATTATACGTGGACAGCATCACCTTCCAACAGCTGGTACTGTTGGGATGTGGTAAGAAAAGCAGAAGACAGTGCACTTTGGCTGCCCTTGGGAGGCTTATATCCAGCGGTGGAATGCAATAGGCTGATTGATATTGAGACCATTATTTATAATAAGTAAACGGTCGTGAAAATCCAGCCTGAACCACTATCAACATCAACATGTATTGCCACCGCACCTAGAGGGACAAGCCAGGGCTAACAGTAACCTTCTAACATTTCGGAATTATAATAGTTAAAGCTTGATTTATTATTTTTTTTAAATCATTTCCGCTCAGTATCTTGTAGACGTCACTAATTTTTTTTTCAAACTAGCTGCTCGGCGAGACCTCGTTCTTTTTTCATAGTATTAAAACCTGAACCTGAACCGGAACATACAAAAAAATAAATTGGTCAAATTGGTCCAACGTTCATTTTTATTTATTAAGAAGATCTAAACAATTTTTAAGGTTTCAGTCAATCTGAATATAAGCACTTCTAGAATCACAACGGCACAACGCGATATAATTCTTCATAATGATGTGTTTTTGCCGACTTGACGTAGTGTATTTTGCGAAAATATTTCCGGTGCGTTAATCAGGCCCAACGGCGTTCGCCACACCAGCGCGTCACTGCCCGAGCAGGGGAACCGCACCAGTTCGCTGATGTCCAACCAGTCTGCGGGCAGCTCCTTGACAGAGTACTTCTCCGACGAGGACTATGACGAGGACGACGAGGATATCGACGGTGAGTGAAGCTTAAATTGTGATAGATCTTGAGCGGCTTTGATTTGATTTCTTTTCTTTGATGACTTCGTGGAAATGGGTCATATATAGGTTGTTAATTTACTTTAAGCGCAAATAGGCTTGCCCTACCGGCACATATCACATTAGCTTTCATTCGATAGATGAAATATTGTAGTGTGTTGATCATTATAAAGTAACACTTCGGACAAAAACACATCCCAGTTCCGTGGTGCTAGATCCTTACCTTAGCATCTGGTTATTGGATGCTATAAAACATCAAGGGGCTTAGAGCTAGCAGGCTGGTGTTTTGTCCGAAATATATCTAAAACTCTAATACAGAATCCCATCCATTCCATTCTTTACGCGGACTATTACCCTCGGCCATGTTTCTGTAGTTTACGCTTTAACTGATTTTATCACTTACGAAACCTGCACCCAGCATTTAAACTATAAATAGGTGTTAACCTGATACATTTATGTCAATGTATTAGACAAATTTAGTGCAAAATACAGCGTGTCGTTACCATCGCGACAGTAAATAAAGACACATCTAACGCTACTTGCCAATGATCAAAAAAAATTTTTTTTCAAACAAACTAATTAAGTAAAAAAGAAATAAAATTTGTAACACCTATACAACTGGCGCCACAGCGTCGGATTACAAGCCTCTCCTTCTAACAGTATGTTTTGTCTCTTTTAAATTCATTCATCCCATTCATATGCTTTGTGACCTTTACAAATGAACTTTACGTTACGCTTTTATAGGTAAGGGTGTTCTAAAATTCTTTGTTTTGGAAAATTTAATAACTCTGTAAATATTGATATCTGAAGAATTTAAATGTTTAATACAACTTTAAAAAGTTATCCCCTATATGTGTGTTCATTAATTAACGACACACTGTATAAGTAATATACAAAAATATCATCCCTTGTCGAAGGACACAATAGTTGTGTACTAAAATTGCGTGTCAAATTCCAGTTTTCCGATAACACAGTACCAATAGCCGCATAGGTTACTTGTCACAGATCGCCACAAGATAGACAATTGAGGGAGCGGAAAAGTATCATAATAAAAGAAAGACTAGTGCATGTTCCCTGGCTTTTACAATGGTATTCTGGTAAATGATAGTCCTGATGCTACTGCTATGTAAGCTTCATTAACTGCTATATGACCAATTGAGAGAAGGGCAAGTAATCATGTACAATCTTCTGTTCAAATTTCTGTCAAAATTCTGTACCCCTAGAAAAGGAGCTGCATAAGATCCTGACCTCTATGGAGGAGAAGGTCGGCCGGGCGTCTCTCTCCCTCTACCAGAGCTTCCGAAGGAGCGAGGGGGACGGAGACACAGCCAGCGCGAAACACGCGAACAGGAAGCGAAGCAACCAGATCGCGAGGGAACTCAGCGATATGGTGACTTACGTCCAGGTCGGTGACACATCTATTATTAAACAGGCCTGATGTCAATAATTCTGTTAACATTTCCCCGACCTTGATTAGCCCTTGTAGGTGGTGAGCCGGTCGTAAAACTCATAGGCAGAACCGCTAACAACATGATTCACATGTTTCGACCCCACCCAGGTGGGATAAGGTTAAGAGGGTGATGTTGTGGTGATGAGCTGAGATTGTGAACTGCGGTAGAACCTCGCGGCAGCTTTTGCCATTGCACAAATCTGCAGGCTCATCCGGGCAAGTCATGATATGAAGACCAGCGAGAATTATAAGTTTCCCTTTTCATCTGGGGAGTGAAGTAACCAATGCCCAGGGTTTTTTTTTAATTTGTCACATGTCACCCTTGGGTGTTAAACATGTTCACGGGCGCGCATGACATGTATTCTACAAAAAAGAGCTGTCCGAGCATTCTATAATATCGGAGCCCGGAGTTCGCTCAGAGATATTTTTAAAGAGATTGATATACTCACTGTTGCTTCTCAATACATTTATTGTAATGTTTTGTATATTCGTCATAACCTTAATTTTTACCTAAAGAATAGTGACAGACATAAATTAAACACTAGAAATAAGGACAAACTTACGACGCCATTGTTTCGCCTACAAAAAGTAAATAGGTCGTTCATGGGCAAGGTGTGCGCATGTATAATAAAATCTCACAGTCGATATTAAGTCTGCCGCTTGATCAATTTAAACGTAAAATCAAAAGTCAACTTATGGTTAAAGCATATTACACTATTGCGGAATATCTCGACGACGCCAATGTGTGGAGTTAATACTGTTGATACTCACGTAAGGTAATATAAGACAATTATACCGGTATTTTATATTATAAATATAAATTAAAATATAATAAACTGATATTTTTGAAAAAGAGCAACTGTTGAGTTTCTAGCCGGTCTCTTCTCAACAGAAACTGATTTCCGAACCGGTGGTACCTTACGAATCTATATGTATAATTTTTTATGTAAAATTTGACGATTCATAAGAACGCGCAAGCCTATCGCGCAAGTCTATTTGAATAAAGATTTTTGATTGATTGATTGTTTGATGAGCGCGCTGCTAAGTTGACAGCGTTTTACATAAAACTATTGGTGCTATCGTACTTCACAATGCCGGCCGCAGCACGAGATCGTTGCTGCGTTACACGGCCTCGAATGGTCTTACGCAAAGTCATTTTTGGTCTTCCAGGCGATCAAGTTCCGGGGACTGAACCCCATGTCGCCGCGCAGCTCCGTCAGGCAGACCAGCACCTCCACCAGGGACAGCAGCAGCGCGGCGGCCTGCAGCAGCTTCGAGTCCTCGGAGAGCAGTGACAACAGCGCCGGGACGGTGGGTGCTTTCCCAGATTCGATTTCGAACCCCGTACAGTTTCGCTTTATTTTCTAAATATCGGGGTTTCACTGTCAGCGCTAAAAATGTCGAAAACAAGCTAGCTTACTACTGAAGAAAACTGAAGAAAGGATTCAATTAGTTTGACGACGTCCGGCATAGTGGATAATGAACCGGTCTCTTGCGCTAAACACTGCTGGTTCAATCTTCACTATAATAACATGTTTCGGCGTTGTTTATGTATCTGTGATATGTATCTATTTACAAAATAAAAGTCCGTTATTCAGTTAAAGTCGCTATAGTATTGCATTATTTTCTAATTATGCGTTAAATTTACTACCTGCGAGGTGTGCGGTAGCCGGAGCTCATTTTATAATGAGGTGGCAACGCATCTGCAGCCCACGGGTGTTGCAAATGCCAATGGGCGGCGGTTATCTTCACATCAGGTGAACCGCCAGCTCGCTCGCCACCTTTTCACACAAAAAAGTCGGTTGAAAAGAACAGAGTCGACGATCGTGACGGCTAGACCAGACTTCCTTTACAAGTTGTTGTACCCATTTAGAAGTTGTTGTAACCATAACTCACTGCGGAGGTAATCACTCCGACTCCTTAAAGCGACAATTCCTCGCGTTACGGCTACACTGAACGAGACTTCCGCAATAGATCAGGGCGCTAGGGGGCACCTAATTCTTTTTTTTTATGTGAAAAGTGAAACGAGTTGAATACCGCCGCCCATGGACATGCTGCACCCGAGGTTACAGATGCTTTGACAACCTTTCGAAAGTTGGGCTTCTTGCCTCGTCATTACAACTCCAACGGCTTATGTGTAACTTTCAAATTCAGCAAGTCATAAAGCGTATATACACTATCCATCGGCAAAATTTTCTTTCTTAATTGGAAAGGCTGCTTCACCCTATCGAGAGGTATGCATTAGTTAAAATCGAAGATGTGCATCACATGCTGATGGATTGTGAAAGGAACCGAGATAAAAGGGAACTGCTGTTTAAAAATCTTAATGTAAATTTATTAGATGTTGGTCTTATTTTTAATATTTTGCCGAATCCCAAAAGTGAAACAATAAAACGTATTTGCGCCCTTGTTCACATCAACAAACAGAAATTCCCGTTTTATATAAATCTATAATGTTAAGGATTCGTATTTCGTAAGTTGTTGTGACATGTATAAGTTACGATGGGGTTGGCGTATTCTTATAGATGAAAATCCCATAAAAATGAACATAATAAAACAAATTGTATACCAGTGACCTGTATTTAATTACTACATCCATTTTTCTAAAAAAAATGGTCCTTCGAGCCGGACCGGAAAACCAGTGTCGGGATCAGAACAAATTTTAGTTACTGTATCTCGACTTTTACCGAGTCCCGTCCGTTTCACGGTCTTATGCTTATACTGTTATTTTTTTGTTTGTTTTTTTTTTTTGTTATGTTTACATCTATTTTAAGTTTCTGTGTAGTTACATTATAATTTTTACGTTTTGTATGTATTCATTTGTTTTAGACCGTGAATAAACGTTTCTTCTTATTCTTCTTCTTCATTTTCCCAGGCGGGGCGCGCCCGCTGCCTCAGCGCCCCCGCCGCCCACCACCCCTGCTACCGCTGCTCCTCCGTCAACGAGGCGATCGGCAAGAAGATCTGCAGGAAGCACCCGCTGGCGCTCATCGCCCACACGGAGACGCAGCTGGTCCGCACCTATCCCGCCGGGTCAGCCACGCAGTATATTAAAATGTTTAGATAAAAAATCAACTGTTGTAGGGCCAGGCAGTAGCGCCTGCTGTTTGGGTTGCATTGTGGGGTGTACCACGGCCTCGCTGAAGACCAGTGAAAGTGGAAGTATTATACTTTTGCATTTCAACATCACTTGACATCAGGTGAAACGACTGGTCGCTTGACAAATTTTTACGTAAAAAAATGACATTACAATGTGTACACTAAAACTTAAAAATTAATGTAACAACGTGTAGTTTTTGCGCAATTATGACAAACTAGCTGTTAACCGCTTTCGCGCGCGCGATAATTTTTTTTTATTCATAACTATAAGTATTAATAAATAGAAACAAATTAAAAACCCACCGCCCCACCGCAGCCTGAGAATCGACTCGTCGAACTTCGACCCCGTCACGTTCTGGTCGTGCGGCGTTCAACTGGTGGCGCTGAACTATCAGACGGAGGACGCCGCGATGGCGGTCAACGCTGCCATGTTCGAGAGCAACGGCTGCCTGGGCTACGTGAGGAAGCCCAGCGTCATGTGGGACCCTGGGCACATCGCGTACCGGAGGTGGGTGGGGTGGGTCCAGGTTTCGCTTGGCTGCTAGATCCTGGGTGGGAACCCACTGGTGAAGCGCTTGGCTAGTAAATCCAGGCCTCAGGTTCAGGGTCTGCTATATCCTGGAGGTAGTGAGCAACAATCCAGCTTTCAGGTCGCGGGGTAACCTAAAACTTACCGCGAAACGAGTTACGTTTAACCTTGTGTAGTATTCGTGTTAATACTACACACGAAAATGAAACATATTTCGTTCGTTCCGTTATTGCCCTTCACGTGAGTTTCACTTTGACCTTGAAAGTCGCGGCTATCTCACGCCTGTTGCCCTTCAAAAGTCGCGGATGTCTAAAGCTTGGTGCCCTTCACTCGACCTTCACTAAGAAACTCGCGACTATCACGCTATCTATCTACGCTATCTATCTACGCTATCTATCTACGCTATCTATCTACGCTATCTATCTACGCTATCTATCTACGCTATCTATCTACGCTATCTATCTACGCTATCTATCTACGCTATCTATCTACGCTATCTATCTACGCTATCTATCTACGCTATCTATCTACGCTATCTATCTACGCTATCTATCTACGCTATCTATCTACGCTATCTATCTACGCTATCTATCTACGCTATCTATCTACGCTATCTATCTACGCTATCCACAAGGTGCGCCTGGCCGCCCGCAGGTTCAACCCTACGGACAAGGAGTTCGACGGGGTGCACGCGGCGCAGCTGACGCTCTCGCTGATCTCGGGCCAGTACGTGGCCGAGAACGTGTACTCGTTCTACAACGCGTTCGTCGAGCTCGAGGTGCTCGGCGTGCCCGCGGACTGCGCCAAGCTGCGGACGCGGGCCGCGCGCCGCAACGCGCTCAACCCCGTGTGGAACGAGACCTTCAGCTTCAAGGTGAACGGGACACGTAAGGCCGGGCGAGCGCGAGTTGGGCCCGCGCACGGAGGGTTCCGTACCGTTAACCATAACAAGTGCAAGTCGGACGACATTAAACGACAAATAAATGTGTTTTGTATGGGAGCACCACTTAAGTATTTTTTTATTTTGTTTTTTAGTGTCTGTTGTTGCAGCGGCAACAGAAATACATCGTCTGTGAAAATTTCAACTGTCTAATTATCATGCGGTTCGTGAGGTACAACCTGGTGGCAGACGGCCAGACGGACAGCGGAGTCTTAGTAATAGGTGGTGACAGACAGACAGACACACAGGATCTCTTATCGTTTTAACCAAAGGTCCCGTTTTACCCTTTGGGTACGGAACAACAAGACCGCAGAGTTTCTTGCCGGTTTCTTCCCTGGAGATGTAGTTTAGAGGACTGGTGTCACTTGTTACGCTGAACACTGAACCGGCGTCTTTTTGTTTCACCAGAAGCAGTTCCAGATGCTTTACCAACTAAGCTGAGCGGCCGATGGCCGATGACCGCCGCTATGCTTGCTGCCAATAGCCACTTTTTTACTGACGAATAATAAAACCGTTTAAAAACTTTTAAGTTAAACGGTTTTATTTTCTGTTTTTTTTTTTTTTGTGCACTGAAAACTACAATATTGTATTGTCATCTAAATTAAATGTGTGTACCAAATTTCAGATCAATCTGACAACGGGAAGGTGCTTAAATTTCAATTTCTAATTTTGACCCAAATAAAAGCCGTACGTGTCGAGCTAAATAAAACCGTTTAAAAACAAAACCGACTTCAAATATCTCGCTCTGTACTCATTTTATAAGTGAGTCTCAGGAGTTCCCCACGTATCTCCGGAGCCCAAGATCCAATACCAATGGAATTGATATGGGATCACATGGGAAGCGCCAGCTCTCGAATAAAAAAAAGAATCATCAGAATCGGCTCACTCAGCCAAAAGTTCGAACTACAGTCGAATTGAGAACCTCCTATTTTGAAGTCGGTTAAAAATTTATCACTACCTCTACCTACACAGGTAAAATTAGGTATAAACGTGAGTGACAGATTCCTCTCTTCCACATGGATTAGACTTATAGCAGCCGCTCTCTACCTTAGATCAACTTCCCGGAGCTAGCCTTCATCCGCTTCGAGGTGTACGACGCCGACACCAACTACATGCTGTCTCAGCGAGTGGTGCCCCTGCACTGCCTGCGCCCAGGATACCGCCACGTCCGCCTACGGTCGGAACTTGAAGTCCAATGTTCAGTTCTCGTTGCGATGCTTTCAATGCTGGTTTTTCTGTAAAAGTAACAGCCTATACATGTCCCACTGCTGGGCAACGGCCTCCTCTGCACAGAGGGTATCAGGGCACAGTACACCACGCGGCCCCACTGTGGATTGGGGGACTTGACATATCTTGGAAATATTATATGGGACACGGGAACACGTAGACCTAATGTTCCCCGCCGGCGCCACTACGGCCTTTCCGGGACACGTCTTCTATATGGTGCCGGGCCGGTGCAATTGGCGCTGTCAACCCAGATCCAAGAAAACGTTTAAAAAAATTAAAAAAAATTCCCGGAAAACGTTGAAAATTGATCAGTTGCAAAATTGAATAAATAAAAAAATTGTAAAGGAACATTCGTGTAAAAGTAAAAAGTAAAGTAACAGCCTATACATGTCCCACTGCTGGGCAAAGGCCTCCTCTACACAGAGGGTATCGGGGCATAGTCCACCACGCGGCCCCACTGCGGATTGGCGGACTTCACATAGCTTCGAAATAATTTTCTTTTGTTATTATTTCGAAAATATGCAGGTTTCCTCTCGATGTTTTTCTTCACCGCGGAGCACGTGATAAGGCAGCACTTAAAGTTAAAAACTTCATTGGTGCCGGCACCGGGGATCGAACTCATGTTGCTCGAGTATATTGAATTAAAGGCGAGCGCCCGGACACATTCGTGTGCTAAAGGCTATTATGGTATTAGTGACATTTTCATAGATGATGTGGCCAATGATGATCAGTACAAGCTCATCATATGTGGTAGGGCCACGCAAGAGTCAACTGTTGCATGAATGGGCAGGTCCGTCCGGGTAAGTACCACGACCTCACAGAAGACCGGCGTGAAGTAGAAGTGTTACACTTCTGCGTTTCGTCTGGTGAGGTAGCCGGGGCCCACTTTATTTAAAGGTGGCAACGCATTCGCAACCCTACGGGTGTTGCAAATGTCCATGGGCGGCGTTTATCACAACATCGGATGACCAGCTCCTTTTTTTTTCTATGTGAAAAGTTGACAAGCGAGCAGGCGGTTCACCTGATGTTGATTGAATATCGCCGCCCATGGACGTCTGCTACACCCGTGGGTTGCAGATGCGCTGACAGCCTTTTGAAAATTGGGCTTCGGCTACCTCACTCACCAGACGAAACGCGAAAGTATTTGTCATACTTCCACTTCACGCCGGTCTTCTGTGAGGTCGTGGTACTCACTCGGACGAGCCTGCCCGTTCGTGCAACAGCCGAGGCTGCTGCGTGGCCCTACCACCGTTGAACCCGTCGTTTGCCACTTTCTCACATTAAAAAAAGCGGTGTTTATTTTGGGACTTGAGAGGGTTGTGTTAAAATGTGCCCTGAATATTTTAATCGCTGACGCATGTTTTAACCATGGAACAACCCCGGCAGCTCCCCCACCAACCAGCCGCTGAACATGGCCTCGCTGCTGGTCTTCTCGCGCTGCTGCGAGGAGTCCGCCTCCGGCGGTGCCGAAGCTGGCCCCCGCCGGCTCCACTTCCTCGTGGTGTACGCCGTGGCGAGCCACGAGCCGTACTCCATACTCAAGGTCACGCAGGACACCACCGCCAGCGAGGTGGGTTGCTTCACCTCTCCCCCCCCCCATCAAAAAACATCAAAATCTTTTATTCATCGACCTACGGCTAGTATCAGTACTCTTTGTAGGAGATTTGGTCCCTTATGGGAGCTAATGTAAATTAATTGGGAGTTAACGTAATGTTATTATTTGCGTCAAATTTCTGTGCCGAGTAATATTTTTGGTGTATGGTTTTGTTTGATCTTGCTTATTCCTCGAGTTTTAAAATAGTCTTTTACATGTTAAGTATATAGTTTATTATATTATTAGTAGGCATAATATGTATATTTTATAAGTCGACATTTTATAATTCATGCGATTGCTTTCTTTTAATTTGTAACAAATGCACCTACCAAAACTTTTCTGGACCACACCAAGGTTGACCGGGAGATGATGCTGATGGCATCAAGTCCGACTTTGTGCATTCATGTGTGTGCACAAAGAATAAATAAATAAATATTGATACAGACCGCTAAGAATCATACCTTTCGTCTATAGTCATTGTTTTCATTTAATCATTCATCGTCCAAAACCATCCAAAAGCTAAGAGTTACTCGATTAAATATTCGTTCATAATCCATCCATCAACACTGATCTTTTATTTAAAGCAGAAAAAATGCGAAACAAAGAAAACACTCTGAGATTTTCGTCGGCGTGGCAATCCCCGTTTGCTTAGTGGTCAAAACGTCTGGGCGACAATCCAGAACACGGGCGTTCGATTCTCGCAGCGGCGACAAAATTCCTTTCACGAAATTTTTTTCACACGATAAAATTGTCCAATAACGACTAGAGCGAACGCGATCTTCATCTGCTTGTAGATGACCAGTTATCATCATTAAAGTTTCTAGAAAAATTAACGAAAAATTTTTTGTCCCGCAAAATTTCCGAAAAATCGAACCCTCGTCTTCCGGAATCGCACCCGGACGCATTAACCACCAAAATAAGCGGCGGATTGCCATTCTGACGAAACATATTGTTACCGACTTCAAAAAAGGAGTTAGAGGAAAGTAGGTTAAGTATTATCGGTTAGATTTTCAAGATTTGATTATATCAGATTTAGTATTATTTTAAACTTTTTAGTGCTGTAACGGGTGATTTCATCACTTTGTCTAAATTGTTGTTTTTCTAAAGACACACTTGGCACACACATGTTGGTTGTTGTAATAATTACAATTAAGTATCTCAGGGAGTCGCGAGTACATAGGACCCACACATAACATAAAAGACCATAAAAGGCTAAATAATTAAATTAATTGTAATTATTACAACAGTCTGTTCCTAACAGACAAGGCGTCAACTCATTATTATTATTATATTTTAAAATATATTGTATCTGAGCTAGTCCAGGGATTGTAACTTTAAACTGAAGGGATAAATACAACATCTTAACTGCTAATAAATCTTTTATTAAATCTTCCCATCATTAACTACACACTCATTATAAAACGTTACAGTGCTAATAGAATTTTTTTTAAGTCGGTCTCTTTTTTTTGTTAAAAATCTTTTTATCCGTATCGTTCTTTTCGCTTAAGCGTTATATATATTTATATCACGTCACCGCCGATTTTTTTTTTGGGAAAATTTGCCAAGCGAGCAGGTGGTTCACCTGATGTTAAGTGAGTACCGCCGCCCGTGGACATCCGCTACACGCGAGGGTTGCAGATGCGTTGACAGCCTTTTGAAAATTGGGCTCCGGCCACCTCGCTCACCGGACGAAACGCGAAAGCATTTGCCACACTCCCTCTTTACGCCGGAGCGATGCTGTGATGCTGACCTGAGCGGGCCCTCGTGGCAGGCGATAGCGCAGTGCCTCAGCAAGGCGGGCGCCAACCGCTCCGGGCGTGGCAGCTACGTGCTGGTGGAGGAGGTGGCCTCGCGGGCGCCGACCCAGAGGGTGCTGGCGCCCCACGAGCGGGTGCTGCGCCTGGCCACGGGCCGCCCCGCCGCCAGGCTGCTGCTGAAGAGGGTCGGAGACGACCCCAGCAGCCGGGCCTGGCTCACCAGCATACGGTAGCACACCAATGCCATAATTTCTGGTGGATTCTTGTTCATTTATTTTGTTTTTTTATTTTTTTTTTATTTCCATAAGGTTCGGCAACATTGGACATACAGGGAGACTTTTTTAAAGGTGCCCAAATTTACACAGGAGGTTCAGACTCGGTAATATAATCGTTTATTGAATTAAAAACAAAAAAATTCCATCATTCCAACGCGGTAGTCATTCGTAAATACCTAAATTTGACTGTTCACGCAAAGAAAAGAACTAGTTATGAATGAATGATCGCGCATAAAATAAATGACTTGCCCATAAATCACGCACTTTTTGAGATAAGTTCAAATGAATTTAATTAATTAATATAGTGATTTTAAATATTTATAATTTTTATATAACATTATTTATAACTAGAATTTAATTGAAAAAATGGACACTTAGAAAAGTCTCCGTGTATAAAGGAAACAAATTAATCTCGAGCGTACTAGATTTCTAGTAGATTTTTGCGTATTTAATTATTGTTTTTTTAAAGTTCGCTAATATTGGACATGCAAATTACACCCCAGTGTCCCCGGTTTCTGCTAGATTTTTTGTTTATTTATTTATGTTTATGGTTTACCAACATGGGACGCAGCTAGCAAAATAATTTAAAAAGTTAATCTTAAATCTTCCACCAACTATAGGTGAAGACAGATTTCTTAAGATAAACTTAAGTAACCTAATTACAAATTCCATTTATTAGCTAGTGTGAGAGAAATGTTTACAAAAACCAAAACTTTAATGACAACAATAAATATTGATAACTGTGATGTAAGCATTTGAAGCAATTATAAAGGTAAAGTACGTTAAAGTATATCTATTAGTAACTTGATGACATACCTTAAGCTAAGTGATGACTCCGTGGCGTAGCTTCGGCGTCGGGGGTCGTGGGTTCGATTCCCACACGGGACAACTATTCGTGTGACCCGCAGCTAGTTGTTTCGCATCTGGGCGTTTGTCCGCGTCAAAATTATGTTTGTAAAGCGTCTTTAAAACACAGGTTTATGTTATCCTGAAGTAAGGTCAACGATTTTTTAATGAAATAAAAAAAAATAAGTAATAACCGCCGCCTCTGAACATTTTCAACACCCGTATGGTAGCATATGCCGCCTTGGTCTCAGGGACTCGTTGATGCTGTGTAACAATATGCCCTGAAACCTTTATTTATCACTGAAAAGCTAGTGGCTAGAGGCCCGCGGCTTCGATCGCGTTGAAGCACTTAAATATATATCTTTTAAATAAAATCCAATTAAAAAATAGCCTATGTCCTCTCTCAGGCATGGCTCAGACTATCTGTATACCAAATTTCATTTAAATCAGTTCAGGGGCTTTGGCGTGAAAGCGAGACAGACATAGTATTAATATTATTCGCTTACATATTATTATATAATATTAAGTATAGTATAATAATAACTAGTTTTAATATTTCGTGAATAAGGTAAATGTAAATAACTTTAACTCCGGCGTAATTCAAATCAAATAAATTTTAAACGATAGAGAAAAATCTCTAATGAATTGATCAACAAGCAGAATTCGGCGGTCGCTTATAGTTTTCGAAAAAATAAATAATGAAATAGTGTGATTTTTACTATAGAAATCAGCCATTTTTTTGTTGTCAATATGTCAATTCAGCTCGTATTTCTTGGTGGTCATAAAAAAAAACCTAACATCGAAGGTTAAGGCGGGAGCTCCGCTCCCTCCTGAACCTTCTAACCTAATCTGTCCGAGTCGGATTCGCTCTGTGTCGGTTCTGTGACTCATTAAATTAAAAAAAAAATCGGAATATCGATACGTGTATGATATCGCCCGCTTCCTATATTTATCATGTTGGCAGAACTGTGTATTGAGTTTTTGAAGTCAAACAAATAAAATGGTGGATTTCTCAGTACAAAAAACAAGTTTTAAATATTTTTTTCTCGAAAACTATAAGCGACCGCCGAATTCTGCTTGTTGATTAATTCATTAGAGATTTTTCTCTATCGTTTAGAATTTATTTTAATTGAATTACGCCGGAGTTAAAGTTATTTACATTTACCGTGAATAATATTAAGTATAGTATGGATCACCTTAACGATAGGGCGGCGCCGGCGGAGAGGGCGAAGGAGCGGACCAACAGCGGCCACCCGCAGGAGAACCACTCCGGCGAGGGCTCAGCGCCCGACGGTTTCCTGGTGTGCGTTCACAACGTGTCCCACGAGATACCCTACGCGATACTCAAGGTGGGTGCAGCTCAGTTGCAAGTGACTGCGTCAGCGTAGGTGGGTTCGATTCCGGCACGGGACTATACAGCGTGTCGTTACCACCGCGACAACAAATGAGCACACGTCCAACGCTACTTGCCAATAATCATAAAAAAATATTAACGTAAAACAAAATCCATAATAAAAAAAATATTTTTCAAACAAACTAATTAAGTAAAAAAGAAACAAAATTTGTAACGTCCTATACAACTCGCGCCACAGCGTCGCATTACAAGCCTCTCCTTCTAACAGTATGTTTTATCTCTTTTAAATTCATTCAACACATTCATATGCTTTGTGACCTTTACGCCTGAACTTTAAGTAACAGTTTTATGCGTACGGCTGTTCTAAAATTGTTTGTTTTGGAAAATTTAATACTTCACGCACGTCTTCTATGAAGTCTAAGCTTACTCGGACGAATCTGACCTATCAATGCATCCAGATTGTAGTTTAACAATTGTAACCTACCTACTATAAAGGATATTTCGTTTGTAATTAATGTGTGTGATAAGGCGTGGCTTTACTTCCGAGTTAAGCTCAATTGGATTGAGAGCATAGGATCGGGTTGGAGTGGGGAGTAATGAAACTGCCTCTTGCACCGTAGTAGCACGTAGATGAACGTAGTGTTTGAGTCCTTATATCTTATTCTATAATATGTATTTATTTACAAAAGAAAATTATGTTTGACTATGTTAACATAGTTATGTCGCTACTTAGTATCCACAGTACAAGCTTTGCTTAGTTTCGGAGTAGATAACGCTGTGAAACTAAGCAAAAAAGTAATAAAAAATCGGCCAAGTGCGAGTCGGACTCGCGCACGATTGGTTCCGTCTGCTGTATGGAAGGCCTACTTAAATATTCTTTCATTCTGTTTTTTAAGTATTTGTTATCATAGCGGCTACGGAAATACATCATCTGTGAAAATTTCAACTGTCTAACCATCACGGTTCATGAGATACAGCCTGGTTGTCATCACCCGACACACTTGTCGACAGACAGACAGACAAACAGAGAGCGGAGTCTTAGTAACAGGGTCCCGTTGAACCCTGGTTGGGTACGGAACCCTAAAAATCACCATAGAGATTTCGTTACCTGTAACTGTTCATCAAATTGAAATTCTCGCACTCTCTCACTTAGGTACCGTTAAGCGCAACGGCGTCCTACGTCGTGTACCAGGCGCTGACGAAGGCGAGGTGTCAGGACGATCCTAAAAGGTGAGTATTTAAGGACTCCTGGTAATAGGGTCCCGTTTTACAAGGTCCAAAAAAGTCTATTCTAACGACGCTGACGAATCGAATGCTCTAGATTCGTCCTGGTCGAGGAGTTGGAGTGGGGGGGGCGGGCGGGCACCGGTCCCCAGCAGCGGCCGCTGGCTGACGACGAAGTTGTCTACGCAGCCCAGGTAGGCCCCAAGCCTTCTGGATTACGGTAGGGCCACGCAGCAGCCTCGGCTGTTGCACGATTGGGCAGAACCGTCCGGGAAAGTGCCACGACCTCACAGAAAACGCGGAAGTAGTATAATACTTATAGTATAATACTTCCGCGTTTCGTCTGGTGAGTGAGGTGGCCGGAGACCAATTTTCAAAAGGTCGTCAACGCATCTTCCACCCTCGGGTGTAGCACATCTCCATGGGCGGCGGTATTAGGTGAACCGCCTCGCTTGGCAACTTTTCACATAAAAAAAACTGTCATCGTATCGCCTTACTTATCATCTCATTTATTATTTAGTTCCTGATACTCATCATATTATTTAGTAAAAAAATAAAAGTATATCAATCAAGTAAAACAAAGACTCTAATGCCCGGTTTCTGCAACACTGATTATCGTACAAGTTAACTAATCAGCTGTCAAAGGGCTTTTTAATGGCTTTAAAATATTAGATGTTTTGTTGAAAAAAAATATACTAATATTTTAACTGTGAGTCCACGCAACAGTCAACTGTTGCACGAATGGGCAGGTCCGTCCGCGTAAGTACCACGACCTCGCAGAAGACCGGCGTAAAGTAGAAGTGTTACACTCCTGCGTATCGTCTCGCGAGCTAAGCAGCCGGGGCCCAATTAATTGAAAGATGCCAACGCATCTGCGACTCTTCGGGTATTGCAAATGTGAATGGGTGGCGGTTATCACTTAACATCAGGTGAACCGCCAGCTCCGTTGGCATCTTTTTAATGATAAAGGGAAGTCTACCGTTCGGAAACATGCATTGTTACTTTTCAAAATAGTAATATGCAGACGCATACTCCACGGCGTTCCATAATTCAAAAATATTATTAATATTTTATTTTGACAAGAATCAACCAGAAAAATAACAATTCAAACATCGTTTGTTCATTCCGTTAAGAGTTCTCATCCTATAAGCGGTTTGGTAATTGTGCGTTCAGCGAAGTTTTAGTGCTCGTGAATAGATTTTTGTATTGAGACGGTAAGGCACGAATTTGTAATAGGGTGTCCATTTTTGAAAAAATTAGGTCACAAGTACGTACCGGATTCAGATTTAGAATTAAATTCTACATGTGCTCTTTTAATATGTCTTCTATAAAATCAACCAGTATACTTATATCAATTTAAAAAAAAGATAAAGTTTTGCCGGCTCTTTACTGGATAGATCTAGTTTAATGACGTCCGATGGTAGTTTTTTGACGTCCAATAAGAGCTAGATTAAGAGTTTGAACAGAAAGCTAATAAACACAATTGTTTTAGAAAACTTATTTAATAGGTTGAGCAGGCCATTTGACTATAGTATCAGCTCGCTTTTCATTCTTGCGAGCGCGAGCGCGATCTGAACTTGAGGGATCCAAGTTCAGATCACGGTGCCCGCGCCAGTGAAATTGTTAATTTTAAGTTGTGACTTATCACTAAGGAGAACGATCTGATCGCAGGCCAGCTGGAAGACGTTGGGGCGGTTCGTGCTGCAGGAGCGAGGGGGGCAGCCGGTGAGGAGGAGGGGTCTGGCGCTGGCGCGTCTCCAGCGCGGCTGGAGCCTCACCAGGGGCGCCCTCGCCGGTGAGTACTGCGGCAGACTACGCTGGCGAGGTCTAATTATACTGGCCAAGTGTTAGTTAAGAGCCGTGACAATCTTAAACTGCCCAGGTCGATTTATACTGGGAAAGTGTTAGTCGAGAGCCGTGACAATCTTAAACTGCCCAGGTCGATTTATACCGGGCAAGTGTTAGTCAAGAGCCGTGACAGTCTTAAACTGCCCAGGTCGATTTATACTGGTCAAGTGTTAGTAAAGAGCCGTGACAGTCTTAACTTAAACTGCCCAGGTCGATTTATACTGGTCAAGTGTTAGTCAAGAGCCGTGGCAGTCTTAAACTGCCCAGGTCGATTTATACTGGTCAAGTGTTAGTCAAGAGCCGTGACAGTCTTAACTTAAACTGCCCAGGTCGATTTATACTGGTCAAGTGTTAGTCAAGAGCCGTGGCAGTCTTAAACTGCCCAGGTCGATTTATACTGGTCAAGTGTTAGTAAAGAGCCGTGACAGTCTTAACTTAAACTGCCCAGGTCGATTTATACTGGTCAAGTGTTAGTCAAGAGCCGTGGCAGTCTTAAACTGCCCAGGTCGATTTATACTGGTCAAGTGTTAGTAAAGAGCCGTGACAGTCTTAACTTAAACTGCCCAGGTCGATTTATACTGGTCAAGTGTTAGTCAAGAGCCGTGGCAGTCTTAAACTGCCCAGGTCGATTTATACTGGTCAAGTGTTAGTAAAGAGCCGTGACAGTCTTAACTTAAACTGCCCAGGTCGATTTATACTGGTCAAGTGTTAGTCAAGAGCCGTGGCAGTCTTAAACTGCCCAGGTCGATTTATACTGGTCAAGTGTTAGTAAAGAGCCGTGACAGTCTTAACTTAAACTGCCCAGGTCGATTTATACTGGTCAAGTGTTAGTCAAGAGCCGTGGCAGTCTTAAACTGCCCAGGGCGATTTATACTGGTCAAGTGTTAGTCGAGAGCCGTGACAGTCTTAAACTACCCAGGTCGATTTATACGGGTCAAGTGTTAGTCGAGAGCCGTGATATCTCAGTTATCAGTCTATCCGTTAATGGCACCCATTGTACAGGCGTTTCTAGTTTGGGATTAGAAAACGTTGTGTAAAATGTGTCCTAAAATATGTCCTTTCGCATTCATAGGCGAGATATTGGTAGCTGGTTGATAATATACGTGTGACCCACAGATGATTATTTCGCATCTGGATGTTTGTCCACGTGATATTTATGTTTTTATAACGTTCTTATAAGACACGACAGATGTATTGGTGTCCTACAGTAAGAAGAATATTTTAAATATTTTTTACCAAAAAAAGAAAACCGACTCCAATCAGAAAATGTAACATTCAATGATGGCCCTCGATTTCTATGTGATGCCATCGTCAGATCCGGGTTTCCTTATCATGGTAACACCCTTGGAATGTCTCCTTTCCGACAAAAAAAGAATCATCAAAATCGCCTCATAAACGACGAAGTTATCCGCGAACATATATAAAAAAAAAAAAATATATACGAGAAACCTCCTCCTTTTTTGAAGTTGGTTAAAAACCGGCCAAGTGCGAGTCGGAATCGCGCACGAATGTTTCCGTACCATCATCATGTATAAAAACGGAAAAGTTGTCTGTTGTAAGGGATCTCCGCTTAAATATTTTTTATTGTTTTATTAATATTTGTTGTTATAGCGGCAATTGAAATACATCATCTGCGAAAATTTCAACTGTCTAACTATCACGGCTCATGAGATACAGCCTGGTTACAGACGGACAGACAGACAAACAGTGGAGTCTTAGTAATAGGGTCCCGTTTTACCCTTTGGATACGGAACCCTAAAAATTAAAACATTTTTAAAATTTCGAACATTATTAACCAAAGCGCTATCAACGAATAATTGTCAACCCCGACCCAAAACCAATTTGTAAAGTTTACATTACGTTTATCGTACGACATTTGGCCAGAGGTTATTATGTTTCATCAGAATTCTGTCATATACCTACGACAGGTGACCCGCGATTTGTATTATATTTCTCGCTCTGTTCGTTTCGGACTTTAATTTTGGCAAAACAAAATATGCCAACTGTTAGGGCCAAGGAGTCTCCGATGGTGCACGAATGGGCAGGTCCCTCCGGGTAAGTACCTCACAGAAAACCGGCGTAAATTAGAAGTATTACACTCCTGCGTCTCGTCCGGTCAGTGAGGTAGCCGGGGCCCACATTATTAAGAGGTGGCAACACATCTGCAACCGGTGTTGCAAATGTCCGTGGGCGGCGGTTATCACTTAACATCAGGTGAACCGCCAGCTCGTTTGCCACTTTTTCACATAAAAAATATAACGGTATTCCGCAACAATTATCCCTACGCCACACAAACACCTGTGCCATGTGGGAATCGAACCCACGACCAACGACGAAGCCAATAACGGAGCAATTACGATTATTGTAGACATAACAGACTCGAAATCGCACTAATTATATTAAACTAGCCGTGCCCGCGACTTCGTCCGTATGGAATTATATTAAATTTTATCAACTTTAAATGGGCAATTCTTGTAGATACATATAATTATATATAATCGAAAAATCGATCGAGCTAGGTTTCATTTTTAGAAAATGTCCTTTTATCCCTGAATATGAATGAAAATATATTGAATGAAAAATATTATTCCAATATGACGAAAAAAAATGTTATAATAGCTCGGTCGGTAATCTGGCGGCCCCAAAACAGACGGCCGCGGTTCGTGTCACGATCATTTTACACACTTTGTTTACTTTTTTTTCTATACCAGACCATTTTTTTTATTTTTTTATTTTCAAAATAAATTATTTACCAAAAAAAACGAGCAAAGCTCGGTCTTCCAAGTACTATATATTAATAAAACTAAATAAAATTCCTAAAATAAAAGTATTCTTAGTTACTCCTTTTTACGTTAGCTATCTGCCAGTGAAAGTCCTGTCAAAATTGGTCCAGCCGTTTCAGAGATTGGCCGGAACAAACAGACAGACAGAGACAGAAAAAATTGTAAAAAATGTTATGTTGGTATATGTACCGTGTATACATCCATATAATACATTTAGTAAAAATTGGTTATTTGGATATTACAAACAGACAGACCAAATTTATTTATCTGTATAGATAAGTGGCCTAAATAGCGCTTCTGTGTAATTGGATTGATATATTCATTTAATGCATTACGACTTTTACATTGTAGTTGGAACTGAATATTTGTGACACATTAATAATATATTGTTAATATCACACTGCTTAAACCTTGTTCAATATCAATTTGACACAGAATTACTGATAAATAATAACGTAATAATCCTAAAACATTTCTAGGTACATGATTAACGATGTGTCATTGAGTCAGTAGAACACTAATGCATTGATGACATAATAAATACAGATATGATAATTAAATACGTATTCTAGGGAATATTTTTACACAATGTCCCAAAATGTAACTGAAAAACATACGTTTCTATCACTACGTAGTATAAAACAAAGTCATCCCTCTGTCTGTCTCTATGTATGCTTAGATCTTTGAAACTACGCAACGGATCTTGATGCGGTTTTTTTAATAGATAGAGTGATTCAAGAGGAAGGTTTATATGTATAATACACTGCACCCGTGCGAAGCCAGGGCGGATCGCTAGTTGTAAATAATAATAATAATAAATTTATATATATAATATAATATTTTTATCTATATGATTATTTTTATTTATAATATTTATGTTATATATGCAACATACAGCGTGTCGTAACCACCGCGACAATAAATGAACACACATATAGAGGATAACTTTTTAAAATTGTATTAAACATTTATATTCTTTAAACATCAATATTTACCGAGTTATTAAATTTTCCAAAACAAACAATTTAAGAACACCCTTACGTATAAAAATATAACGTAAAGTTCATTTGTAAAGGTCACAAAGCATATGAATCGATTGAATGAATTTAAAAGAGACAAAACATACCGTTACAAGGTAAACTGTAATATACCGTGTAATGCGACGCTGTGGCGCGAGTTGTATAGGATGTTACAAATTTTGTTTCTTTTTTACTTAATTAGTTTGTTTGAAAAATATTTTTTTTATTATGGATTTTGTTTAACGATAATATTTTTTTATGATTATTGGCAAGTAGCGTTAGACGTGTGTTCATTTATTGTCGCAATGGTAAAGACACACTGTATATCTATATGTTTATGTTTTATTTATAAACCCAACCAGACGAGAAAACAAATGAATATCCCACCATAATAATAAAAAAAAATGTGTGCGTGTACTAGCGTACACTCGTAAGAAGTGAAACTTTTTATGACGTTATTTTTCAAAAAATAATTTACTATATGCAACTTTACAGAAATTGGTTAAATAAAGTTAAATTAGATAAAGTTTAAATAAAAGGCTTTTATTATCATAGACATAAATACAAATTCTACAATTATTTCATTTTAGCTTATTTGTAATACATAGGTGGCGTTAGTAGTAAATTAAAACACCCTATGGTTTGACCGTTGTAATTACTATGAGGGTCCGCAAAAATTGTTGATTAAAAAACTTGCAACGTGAACCTTGTTCATTTCAATTAACCTCACGGACCCAAAATACAACCGCTTTAAATTTGTGCATGGTCCTTCGTTGCCGAATAGTCAGCCAGTGAGTAGAAGGCAGGCATTCGACTCGCGCGCGAGTGTTGTGAGTGAAGTTTTTTTTGGAAAACCGAACTTGCGGACGTTGGATCGACGTCGCAACCGCAAGTTCCAGGAGCCGATCGAGGCTTCGAAGAGCATTCGTGCTCTGAAGTATTAGAGCTAGCACTGTCATTACTACAAATATTATTATTGAATTTCATTAATTGTAATAGAATTATTACTATTGTTCGAAGGATTTGGAGAGAAAGACCTGCTGACTCTTTTGAAGACTTTATTTACGCGCACTAGGTCCAACACAAAGCACTAGGTCCAAACACTAAGCACTAACGATGTCCTATTTTGTAGCCAAGTCGTAGGTTTCACTGGTATCGCTCTTGATCACTAGTTTTCGCTCCGAAGTCGCCTCGAAGGTAGCTCAAACTGAACTGTCATCGCTCGCGTCCCTGCGGCTTTTTATATGGGCCGAGACCGGTTCCGGACTAATCCAGAAAGATCATTCCTGGAACGAACCCGACACGCACGAACATGTTTGTGATTCCGGAAAGTTCGCGAATGTCCCGGTTTTCGAGACTATAGTTCCACAGCAGTTCCTCTAACGCCATCTAGTGTTGAATAGGGGGTTTTATGTCGTCTTTGTTCTTTAGTGGTTTTAATAGTTGACGCTAGATGGCGTTAGTTCTTTTGTGTGTTCATAACACTACTCCCCTCTTAGAGATGGTCGTCCCGAGCATCATTGTTACTGCCATGGTAACGCGCCAGACGGTCTATGTGTACCACTTTGAATGTCCCTCTTGGTTGCTTTTGAATCCTATAAGTCACATCATTCAGTCGGGTAACCACTTTGTATGGACCGTCCCACTTGGTCTGCAACTTTGGGGATTTCCCTTTCCGACGAGTTGGGTTATGCAGCCACACCAGTGACCCTTCCTCGAAGCCGTCCGTGTTCGATTTCCGGTCGTATCTGGTTTTCATGTTCTCACTTGACTGTAACCCATTTTCCCGAACCAAGGTGTATATAGCGCATTTTTTTTCCTTAAATTGCAGCCATAGTCTTGTACGGTCTCTGGTCCCTCCGGTGACCCTCCTGTCAATAGGTCTACTGGTAATCGTAGTTCTCTACCGTAATTGACATACGCCGGGGTAGCTTTTATGCTCTCATGCTCGGCGGTTCGGTACGACAGAAGGAAGAGTGGTATATACTTGTCCCAATCCTTTTGTTTGTCGTCTACCAATTTCGCCAGATGCCTCTCAAGGGTCTGGTTAAATCTCTCAACCATTCCATCAGACTGTGGGTGGCACGCGGTGGTCCTCGTCTTATGCATGCCCAAAATTCTACACACTTCCTGGAATACTTGCGATTCGAAGTTCCTGCCCTGATCGGAATGGATTTCTAGAGGCACACCAAAGCGACATATCACTTCTTCGACTAACTTAGAAGCGACTGTTGTAGCTTCTTGGTTTGGTATGGCGAACACTTCGGGCCATTTGGTGAAGTAGTCCATGACGACCATAAAATACTTGTTTCCCGATTCCGTTACGGGAAATGGCCCAGCTACGTCAACTGCAATTCGTTCCCACGGTGCACCGACGTTATACAACCGTAGGTTCCCACGGCTTCTGGTCTGTGGTCCTTTTACAGCAGCGCAAGTAGTACATTTGCGGCACCAATCCTGTACATCATCTCGACAATGCAACCAGTAGAATCGTTCTCGCACTTTTGTTAACGTTCTCTTGACACCTAGATGACCTCCTGATACGCCATCATGTATTTCACGGAGAACATCTGGTACTCTCGTTCTCGGGAGACTTGTAGACGGTTCAATAATCTTATTCCTTCTCATGTCCTCCAAAAGGCCTTCAACTTCTTTTTCCTTTGCAATTGGTATCCGTCTTGCTCGTTGACGAATTGGTCTTTCGCTTCCGGTATCTATCCTGTGCTGAACCATCGAAGTTCTTCCAAGGTCCCCTTCTTGACTGGAGAAGATATTTGCGTAGCGCTGTAAAATCTTCCTAGCTTTAATGCCCTGCGAATAAGTCAGATTACTCTTGCAGTCATCGAGTAGCTCAGTCACTAATCCGTAGTTATGGCCGTTTACTGGAGCTTCCTCCGCGTCAGCCAGTACTCGATCCTTAGTCCCGGCTTTTATTCGTTTCCCTGAAGCCCCTTGCTTCTTCAGCTCCTTTATTTGTTCCTCAATCCTTTTCATCCTTTCCATCTGGGTCTCCTTCTGCGGGCAGTTGAGCTGAAGATGGCCCCTCTCGCCGCACTTGTAGCACATGGGTCCAGAACTTCTCTTTGTAGGGGCCTTAACCTCCTTCACTTCCTCAGAGACCTCGCGGATCTTATGGGTCTGCCGTATGTCATGGCGAACAGCCTCGACCTCCAAAGCGTGCGCCAATGCCTCCTTTAACGAGGTATGGTGACGAAGCCTCACTGCAGCTCTGACCTCGAGGTCCTTGATTCCGTCCACAAATGCTTGAACAATATTCGTGTCTACTATCTTGGTATTGGCTCCTGGGTGTGCCTTCCTGACGAGTTTTTCAATTTCCAACGCCCATTGTTGTAGTCCTTCTCCTGAGCGTTGGACTCGGTCACGCAGTTGGGCATGGAATACGTGCTCCAGGTGTCGCTCCCCGTATCTGGGTTCAAGTGCCTCCATCAGGTCTTGGAACCCATTTCCTGTATGTGGCAGTGCTTCCAGGACCGACAAAGCTTGCCCTCTGAGCGCAACAGTGAGAGCGGTCAGGCTTTGGTCTTCCGTCCATCCGTTGGCAGTAGCAACAGTCTGGAATTGCCGACGATAAGCGTGCCAAGAAGTAGTGCCGTCGTATGGCGGCACTTTCACTCTTGGTCCTTGCGCCACTCCAGTGGTTCCACTAGACATCGCGACTCCCGTGGTTTCAAGGCGCACTACTTTCTTCTGCAGTTCAGTGAGGCCGGTTTTCACATTTTCAACATCCAATCCTAACCCGGTAACTCGTTCTTCGACCACGTCGACATCACTTCGAAGCTTAATCACCGTGTTACTAACATCATTTATAGCCCAAAGCACTTTTTCTTGAAGGTCTTTTTGTTGCTCTTGTGACGCTTGCAAAGCGCTGAGCTTGCGTTCTTGTGACTCCTTCATTGCCTGAATTTCAGCCCTTTGCAGTTCCATGAATTTAATTAAACGTCCTAATTGAAGAGCCACTTCAGGGGCTGCAGAAGCTGTGGTGCCGCCGGTGGGCGTGGCCAGAGGGCGTGGCTCAAGTGGGCGTGTCCCGGTGGGTGGAGGCAATGGGCGGGGCTTGCACAAAAGTGGGCGTGGTTTGAGCCAAAGTGGGCGGGGCTTGGGTCTGAGTGGGCGGAGTCTGGGGGCGTGGTCGGTGGGCGTGGCCTTGTCGGTGGGGTCAGTGGGCGGGGCTTGGTCCCCAGTGGGTGTGGTCTCCGCAGCTCGTGCCCTTGTCCTGACACCCTCCTTGAAGTCCTCTCTCGGAGTCAATGGCATCTCCAAATCCCACTTCTGACACCAGTTGTTACGTGTTAGGGGTTCGAAGGATTTGGAGAGAAAGACCTGCTGACTCTTTTGAAGACTTTATTTACGCGCACTAGGTCCAACACAAAGCACTAGGTCCAAACACTAAGCACTAACGATGTCCTATTTTGTAGCCAAGTCGTAGGTTTCACTGGTATCGCTCTTGATCACTAGTTTTCGCTCCGAAGTCGCCTCGAAGGTAGCTCAAACTGAACTGTCATCGCTCGCGTCCCTGCGGCTTTTTATATGGGCCGAGACCGGTTCCGGACTAATCCAGAAAGATCATTCCTGGAACGTACCCGACACGCACGAACATGTGTTTGTGATTCCGGAAAGTTCGCGAATGTTCCCGGTTTTCGATACTATAGTTCCACAGCAGTTCCTCTAACGCCATCTAGTGTTGAATAGGGGGTTTTATGTCGTCTTTGTTCTTTAGTGGTTTTAATAGTTGACGCTAGATGGCGTTAGTTCCTTTGTGTGTTCATAACACTATCATTGATGTCGTTATTATATATTTGTGTTATTAATGGCTTATGGTAACTGAAATACGAAATATATTGTTTACATTTTAGAATTAGAATTAAAATAAACCCTTTGATTTTGCTGATCACTAATATAACATATATATATATATTGTTATGAACACACAAAGGAACTAACGCCATCTAGCGTCAACTATTAAAACCGATAAGAAAAAGATGGCGCGTAACGCAAAAATGTTACACTAAATTTTTTTCCAACCCCGATAAAGAAGTTTCACTTCAATAAAATATCTTTATTCACATAGAGGCCTGCACGTTCTTATGAAACGTCGAAATTTTACAAGTAAATTATTACATACGCGTAATCATTTACATGTGAAGTTGCGATGTTTAGCGAATGCCGCCGCCCGTGGACATCTGCTACACCCGAGGGTTGCAGATGCGTTGACAACCTTTTGAAAATTGGGCTCCGGCCACCTCACTCACCAGACGAAACGCGAAAGTATTATACTTCCACTTTACGCCGGTCTTCTGCGAGGTCGTGGTGCTTACCCGGACGAGCCTGCCCATTCGTTTATGTATATCTGTCTTTTTGTCTTAATGTTACACTTTCAGCCCATTCCACGCAGACGTAGTCGCGGGCAGCAGCTAGTTTATAATATGTGTAATTATATATCTATGATATGTATTTATTTACAAAAAAAATATGTCTAGATATATTTATCAGTTACCTACTGTCCATAGCACTAGCTTTGCTTAGCTTGGAACTAGATGACGTTGTATAAGTATGTCGTTAAATATTTATCTGTTGGTCTCCTTACTGCAGGCACCACCTTCCCGCTGGGTGGTTTTGGATCCGGAGACAGTTCTGCTGAGGGCAAAGCGCCTGTGCAAGCGGCCTACAGTGACCCTACGCACTGCAGGTGAGAAGTTATGACCCTTGTACTTTTATTGTGTGGGAGGCGTATGTCCAGCAGTGGACTGAAACAGGGTAACTGTGGTATGGCCACGGAAAAGTGTTCGCTGTTGCACGAACGGGCAGGACCGTCCGAGCCAGATCTGGAATAATCATCCGTGGGTCGAGAAGGGTCTGGGTCTAGGGAATAGAACCCACGACCCCCCACTCCGAAGCCATTGCTTGGCAACTTTGATCACGGCTCTAGCTATCAATGTACAGTGAAAGATACTTCAAACCGGTTTCCGTTTTGTTTTTTTTTTTAAGAGAAAAGTTGTCAAGCGAGCAGACGGTTCACCTGATGTTAAGTGAATACCGCCGCCCATGGACATCAGCTACACCCCAGGGTTGCAGATGCGTTGGCAACCTTTGGAAAATTGGGCTCCGGCCACCTCACTCACCAGACGAAACGCGAAAGTATTATACTTCCGCTTTACGTCGGTCTTCTGTGAGGTTGCGGTGCTTACCCGGCCGAGCCTGCCCATTCGTGAAACAGCTGAGGCTGCTGCATGGCCCTACCACCGTTAAACGTCTCAACTGAAACGCTTCATTATCTACGGGGTTTTATATTTTTAATCTGTATACTCATCTTTTTCAAGGCGCGTGTCTACGTCGCCGCTGGGCAAAGGCGTCGGACGCTCGAAAGGCCACCCGGACCGAGACATCAGGAGCTACGTGCACGGCAGCCCCAGCAGGGAGGTTCGAATTCCTGCTTTCTTTTTATTAATTCATTTGAATTCGATTACATCAAAAATTCAAAAGTTTTTTTAAGTCCTTATCTCTTGCACTTAAGACTAAACATTAAAATTTGCAGAAAAATTACGCAACGTCAAATGCTATAAAACAATGTAGATAAAAGACGTTGAGATGTTCGTCGGTGTGGCAATCGGCCGTTTAGCCTAGTGGCTCAAGCGTCGGGCTGTTTAGTACGCTAAAAATTGCAATACGATTCGCACAAATGACTTTTTATTTTATTTTAATCTTTCCTGGTGTCCAGGCCCAGTCGGAGGGGGAGGCCGAGGGTGGGAGCTCGCTGGCAGCGGAGGCGCTGGCTGCCCAGATGGCCCGCTTCAAGAGACTCTCGCTGCGGAAGCTGCGCGCTTGGCGCTCCTGAGTGTGGCAGGTGTGGCAGCGGCAGTTTTTTTTAAGGCGCAATTACGGAGCACGGCATGGCGTCACTGGGTCCAGTTAGGCTCAAAAACACCGTTCGCTCATTAAACGAAATCAGCATGGGAAAATAACAATACGTTATTGGGTTTCATTAGCGTCAATAGCTTGAGCGTTTTTCTGGGTAATTAAATAATTTACAGTCGCTACCACACTACGTGGAGGCTTAAAGGCAATTCAAATCCAATAAAAAATTGTTTATTTTTATTTATTTAGTCTTTATGCACACACTGTACAAAGGAGGACTTAATGTCAATGGCATAAAATTATAAAAAGTTTTTTGCACTAAATGTATTAGAGGTTAAAGTATTTTTTATACTTCTCCTCTGACGTTAAGTGATAACCGCCGACCATTGACATTAACACCCGTACGGTTGCACATACGTTGCCACCTTTTAGCAAAGTAGGCCCCAGCTACCTCACTCACCAAACGAAACGCAGAAGTATGAAGTCGTGGTACTCGCCCATTTTTTTTTTCTTTTAATCATTGCCCTTACTTTAGGATAACATTATCCTGTGTTGTAGGGACGTTTTACAAACATAAATTTCAAGCTGACAAACACCCAGATGCGAAACAACTACCTGTGGGTCACACGAATAGTTGTCTCGTGTGGGAATCGAACCCACGACCCCCGACGCCGAAGCCAATACCTTGCCAACTGTGCCACGGAGTCATCAAATTGCCATTGGTGGCCCTACCACAGTGTATGTCTAATCCAATTGAGGGTAAAAGAGAGCTTCACCTTGCAGGTGTTTCGCCGGCTTGGCACTAGCTTGGCGAACCACCGTGCCTCTCTCTCTTCGGAACTTGGTTCTTTATGGGACTTCATCAGGATAGATAAGGACCGACGACGCTCCGCGCCCTCCACCACCTACGAGTCCATCGACTCGAAATCCCCGGTAAAGCTGGCCAGGGACCTACTGCAGGTTGTCCAGGAGACTGTCTTATGCAAGCGGCTAGAGGACACTCCAAAGCGGTGCCCCTTGGTCAAGGAGGAGTCCGATCTAACCGCCTCTGACGACGAGGAGAGCGCCGACAACAGGATCGCGAACCTCATCGACTTCTTCTTCACTATTGTGAAGAGTCAGAAGGAGAGTAGAAAGGGGAGTGGCGGCAGCTGCTTCAGGGGCGAGGCGAGCCCGGAAGAAGAAGAGAAGGCGGCTCCGAACCGCGTCAACACTGAACTGGAGAAGAAGATGGAGACCCTGATGGAGTTTTTGGCGACGACTGGGTGCATGGAAAGCGAACGCGAGGGCAAGGACGAGAAGAAGATAACCTTGATGGAGTTCCTCTTCGGGCCGGACGATGGGCGGTGGGCGAGGCCGTCTATCGAGCTGAACGGCCGCGGCGTCAGCCTGTCTGAGTCCAAAGTGGACGTGCGCGACCTGGCCTACATCGACGAGAGCCCCGCAGACCGCGAGGAGACCTTGGTCGAAATGCTCCTCAAGTACATGGAGGGATACGGAGCCCGGGAAAAGGGCGGCGAAGCGGCAAAGTCGCTCTCCGTCACGCCTTCCCTGTCAGAGAAGTCGAAGTCCGACACCACCATCAGCCGGCTGGAGACCTTCAGCGATGTCAGCAAGACGAAGTCGGATTCGACTCTGACATACACCCAGGACACTGTGGTGGAGCGGGAGCGTGCAAACGGCCGCCGCGTTTCAGAGACCGTGGTCGATCTGAGCTTTGTCAAAGAGGACCTGGAGGCGGTCTTCGAGGAGGCGACCCTCCGCGTCTGCGAGCTGAGGATGATGTTTGACGAGGACACGATGAGCGAGCAAGAGGACCTGGAAAACTTCAACGCTTACACCAAGCCACCGGCTCTACAGTGCATCCAGTGTCTTCCGTACAGCGTAGAGCTGTCAGACATAATGGAGGAGGAGGAGCCCTCCTCCAGGGGCTTAGACAGGGGAGATGACGAGGACCGGCTGGCGCTAGCCCGGCGGCTAGCGGAGGACCTGGTCCGTTACATAGAGGACAGGATCCAGCGCTACCGTTTCGAGGACTCCGACGACGAGAGCAGCTGTCCGTCCACCGAGGACTACAGCAGGGAGTACGAGTTGAGCACGCGTTCAATCAGCCTGATCGATCTGAGGAACATACCGGACTTTGCGCCAAGCGCGATCGCCAAGCCCAAAGTGCTCCGCCTGGACAAGTCCACGTCGACCACGGAGATATCCGAGTCCATATCGGAGCTGTACCGGAGGATCGATTCCGCATGCATGACAGAGGACACCGCACTAGGTTCGGGGGAACGGAGTGAGAGGGCAATGGACAAGTTGGAGTCCCTACACAAGTTCTTCTCCAGGTCTCGCTTGGAGATCATCGACGAGAGCCTCGAGGAGAACGGTGAGAAGGCGACCAAAAATCCAAAACAGAAGGCAGAGGGTATGTACTTCAATGGGAAATCTAAAGAGGCGGGCGTGGTGGAATGTAAAACTGGCCAAGCCAGTCTAGACGACGTGGAGGACTTGCAGGACGACAACGACGCCCCCACGGCGGACAAGGACGCCAGTGACATTGACAGATGTGTCAATGACTTTGACAGGCGGGACAATGACATTGAAATTGAAGACAAGTCACGTTGACGTCTCTAAATGGTCGGGATGAAGTCTAGCGGGTGGATACGGCCACGTGAGGCGATATGTAATTTTATTAGGGGAAAGGTTATACGTGAAATTCTAAATATTATAAATAACTAAGTGAAAGGTTTGTAAGTAATATGGTAAATACTAAATATACTCTCTCCGCTCTTCATAATACTTAATATCGCCAGTATACCGAAAGAAAAACTATTTTTATAATTGAGAATTCAAGTCTAACGAAAAACAAAATTGTGTTTATTCTGTCTTCATAATAAAAATAAAATAATTTGCATGCAGTTATTTTTTAACCAGGCATGTAAAAAACCTCATGGACAGTTTCGAAACGTGTCGTTTTCTTGTGATTTCTTTGTGTGCTACATTTTAAATTCTATTTTATTACCATAGTTACTCTGTATTAAAGAAAAATAGACAGCCTATATATCTATATACACATCATATTTCCATCAGGTTACAATGCAATTATGTGTACAATTTGTATCACAAAACAGACAAAAGCGTTTTTATTTTCTCCACATATTTGATATTATAATATTTAAGGATCGTGTTCGTGTTACAAGTTTTAACTTTAATTCTGATAATTTACTACGCCATGCATTTTGACGTTAACATTTGGAACAACAAAAAATATACGCTATATACATATCAGCATATATTTAATCCAAATTCGTTCATTCAACAAAATTCTATCTATACACATTCTAAAAAAATACTTTTTATATTAGAGTATTTATATATTTATTAGTAACAAAATCTATTTTCTAACTTAATCGTCGGCTGACTATCGAAAATAATCTGATATTTATTTAATGCCACCAAGACCATGGCATAATTAACCATAGAATAAAAAAAAATCAATACGCCGTTTGCCACAAATTACAAAATGCCATTTGGCACCAAAATGTTTTATATACATTTTAAAATGCAGCAGTTACTCACGGACTAAATAAATAACTGATAAATAAACAAAAAAAAGTGATTTTTCTAGTCCGTGCAGTTACTAAACATAAGTACATATATTTAGCAAGGTTACTGTTTTAGTTCAAATAATTTTGATTACGATAGTTAACCGACGTGGGAAAATATTTCAAGAAAGGCGTAAACGCGCCAAATTCGACTCGACGCTGGTTCGAGAAAAGATAGTGAGATTTTTTAACTATTATGATAGAATGATATACTTTGTAACTGAATAAATCTGTATGAGTGCGCGTTGAATTGAATAAGAGGTGTATTTATCGCAAGTTGAATTTATACTTAAAATATATATTATCTATACGAGAATTTTATACTATTACTACGTGTAAATAAATAAAAAAAGGAAATATTTTGACTAATATCTGTTTTGGCTTTACAATATCCATTCTTGTTTATATTGATTAATAATTTTATTTTTTCACATGATTTTCTGTAAGAAATAGCTCTTTAAAAATTAAAGAGATTTTAATTTAATTTTTTAGGTTAGTGAAAATCGTTTGTTATTGTAATAATGAAAATGTAGCAGTTTCTACTACTTTATAGTTTATTTAAAAATCCAGCAAAAGTTCAGCACATTGACGGTCGCATATTGCAATTAAAATAAATTTTAAACGATACAGAAAAATCACTAAAGAATGAAATAACAAGCAGAATTCTCCGGTCGCTAATAGTTTTCGAGAAAATAAATATTTAAAACGTCTTATTTTCACTAAGAAAATCCGCCATTTTATTAATTTGACTTCAAAAACTCAATACACTATCCTGCCAACATGATAAATATAGGAAGCGAGCGACGACATACTCGTATCGACTGCTCGTTTTTTTTTTTAAATTTAATGAGAGACCCAGAGCAATCTGAGTCGCTCCCGGCTTAGCCTTCGTGGTTATTTTTTTATGACCACCCAGAAATAGGGATATATTTATATATAGCAGAATTAACATATTGACAACAACAAAATTGCGGATTTATATAATGAAAATTACACTCTATTTCATTATTATCATTTTTTTTTTCAAAAACTATAAGAGACTGGGGAATTCTGCTTGTTGGTTAATTAATTAGTGATTTTTCTCTATCGTTTAAAGTTTATTTTAATTGCAATATGCGCCCGTCAATATCCTGAATATTTACCAAAAATCATGCTTATTTATAGTTTGTTTAAAATTTACCGCGTAATTAATAATAGAGAAAGAAAAATTTTGTATTCTTACCGTGTAATAGTAAAAATATGATTGTAGTTGTTAAAAGAAAACGTAGTTATTTTCCACGGTTTATTTAGCTTAGTGGAGATAATTATGACCTATTAGGGTTTCTGTTGCACTAATAATACTAGTCTTTTGTATTTGGCGCCGATTTCGAGACTAACAGTTGGAGCAACATTTACGAATATTTTAAAAAAGTGCTTGTGATAGTGTCATTACAAGCAATCCATAGACAATAATATTACTTTGTTTCTAACAAAACTACGCAGATAAAAAAACGAATGAATATTAATAAAATTTTATCTATGTTTAATTTTGCTGTATTGTTGATATATTCTAATCTTACCAGCTGTTCATATTTAAATAGTTTATGTGGAGATATTTATTAATTTCAAGACGACGGCAAAAATTCGCCAGCATGGCGTCTGAGGCTGTACACTTATATTTTGTGAGGAATACATTTTATTTAACTGTGTACCCCGTTGTTTGATTTCACCTTTTATTGTTCAGCGTCCATAAGAGTAATTGCTCAGTGATTGCAACCTCTACTAGCTTTTAGGGTCATGGGTTGGTAGCTCGATAGAGTGCATTTTTTTATGTGAGAAAGTCGAAAACGAGCTGGCGGTTCACCTGATGTTAAGTGATAACCGCCGCCCATGGACAATAACAACACCCTAAGGGTTGCAAATGCGTTGCCACCTTGAAATAAAGTGATCCCCGGCTACCTCACTCACCAGACGAAACACAGAAGTTTATACTTTCTTCGCGCCTCACCAGCTTTATAAGAGATTACGAACCAAGGTGGTGCTGATAACGAGACACAACGCCCTGAACTATAAAAATATAGATATTTTTCCATACAATTATCGATATATATCGTCGATACTTTTGTCGCGATATATCGATATTCGATACTTATTTTAGACTATCGAAATCTTGTCAATTTCGATATATTTTAACACAACTCTGGTTTCGTGTCAAATAAAACTTGATACTCTTTGCATACTCCACGCGTATCGTTATGTTTAAAAACTCTGTTCAACTGTTTTCTCCATGTCTATTCTTTTTTAACGAATATTGAATGGTTTGAAAATATTTATGAATAATCATGCTAAAGATGACGATATGTTGATATATCGATATTTTTCGCTCTACAATTATCGTTACTTATGAAAAAGGCCAATTCGGTAAATATCGATACATTTTTTTACTCGCCCATCCCTACCTGAACGGTGCCCACGCGCCCTATTTACACGCAAGGCCCGCCGTCGCAAACAAGCCGCGTTATCTGCCGATAAACAGCGAAGCATCATGCACAGACCGACTGTCGGTACACGATGTCTGGCGGCGATAGCCCCTGAACCATAGGGTCGCGCCCGGCGGATAGTGTGGCGCCAATTACACTAATTAGAAATGATAACGCACCTCCCTGTTGCCATAAAACTGGTCACCGTTGCGGTTGAACTACGTTATTCTGTAAAGTAACACCCTGTTCATATCCCACTGCTGGACAAATGCCTCTGGAAGGTATTAAGACAGTCATACCCCACTGCGTATTGACGGACTTCACATACGTTTGAAATATTTTTTTGTTATTATTTCGAAAATATGCAGGTTTTCCAGCGATGTTTTCCTTCACCGCTTAGCGCGTGATAAGTCGGCGCTCTAAATTAACAATTTCATCGGTGCCGGCGCCGGGATTCGAACTCGGGTAGTTCGAATATATTTAATTGAAAGCGAGCGCCCAGATAATGAGCATGACTGAACTCAGCTGTTGTTGAGTAAGACCTCTACTAAAGTCGTACTAAATCGTGGGCCGAAGATTTTGTCGCATTAAATTCACTTTGAGGTGTAACAATACTTGGAATTGCCGCAAATTCACAAAAGCAAATAACAAATGAAAGCTTCGCATAAGGTTACCAAAGAGATCTATATTCAAAATATAAATAAGTTTTAATTGGCAACGTTTCTAACTGGCCAGTTCTAAGAACTTTCAGTGTGATCTACTTCAACTTACCAATCTTCTCGGCTGACCCTTGTTCTCCTGCTGATTTAATGGAGCAATAACCCCGCCAAAACTTTTCATAGAGATTCCCCGGTTTTATAAAAACCGTACCAAAAAAACCATAAAATAAAATAATGAGACTGTCCTAAAATATTTATTGACGAACCGATTGGGGAAGTAGTTCCCGTCTCCTGCGCTAGAGGGCTTGGTTTCGATCAACACTACCGGAAAACTATTTTCAAAACAACATAGTGTTATTCCAGTGGTTGTTTATATTTCTATAATGTGCATTTATTTGCAAAAACCTGCCCATTCGTGTAAATTCGTAGACTGTTCCGTGGCCCTAACAGTTAGCGTATTTTGTGTTGCCAAAAATAAAGTCCGAAACGAACAGAGCGAGAAAGATAATACAAATCGCGGGTCACCTGTCGTAGGTATATGACAGAATTCTGATGAAACATAATAACCTCTGGCCAAATGTAGTACGATAAACATAATGTAAACTTTACAAATTGGTTTTGGGTCGGGGGTGACAAGTATTCGTCGATAGCGCTTTGGTTAATAATCTTCGATATTTTTAACAAGACTAAAATAAAAAAACGTTGTCCTCACTATAGAATAGCTTGTATTAACTGATGTTTTTGCTTTCAGTCCCGAGACTATTAAAGCTTCATCGGACGCAGAACCGGTGGGCTAGCCAGAACCCACGGGCTTAGAACTATAGAATAACAATATCGAGTGTTGTAAGGACGTTTTACAAACATAAATTTCACGTGGACAAACACCCAGATGCGATACA